CCTAGATTAGGAATTGGAACTGAATATGACGATGAAGCCTTGTTGTTTCATTTTTTTTTTTTTGCTGAAAAAGAAAAAGCATTTATAGATTATTAATGATTTTAATTTTTAGAAGAATAATTTTAATCCCTTAAATTATTCAATTCCTTTTTCCTTTTTTTCCTTTGATTTTATTTTTTCCTCCTTTTTCTCTACCTTTTTTTGAAATTTTGTTCTTTTCTAACATTATTTGTTGTCTTATAATTTCATTTTGTATTTGATTTCTATTTTAATTTCGCCCTATTCGTTACTATCTGATTTGCTTCTGTTGTTATTTTTATTTGATATCTTGCTAATTTGTTTGATTTGTATCAAAATTTTCAAAACTGATTCATTCTTTTTTCCAAGGCCCAATGAGACCTAAAACTGTTATTGGTTAGGTCATATTCCTACATTTACCAAAATGTCGGGGTTTTTTTCCACTTTTTCTTCAAATGTTTTAATTCAGTTGCTGTTTAAATGTAGTTTGAAAAAAATGAATAAATAGATAAAACTTTTAAATGTTAGACTTAAATGTTTCGCTATTTGGATAAATGTATTAACATTTTACATCGATATATTGTTATTACTCTTACAGCAGTATTACTTTAGGAAAATTTTTTAAATGTTATCAAAATTTAGTTCTAACCTGAAATTAAGAGACAGCTCAAACCATGAAAAACGTAAAAACTTTTCACGCAGTTTACATTATTACCTAATAATCATTTTTTATGAATGAATTTTTCTTTTTTCCTCTGGATTGAATATTAAATAAAATTATTTGCCATATTTTTGATGACATACGTCCTTCTATTAATCGTTCTCGAAATTATTACTGAGCCCAAAAAAAAGGACTACTAAAAAAGCAGTAAGAGAAAGATAGAGGGAGAAGGAGAGAGAGAGAGAGAGAGAGAATGTTTATTAAAATAAAGAATAAATTGCTGTAGTATCATCTATTTTGATTAGTTTGCATCAATTTTTATCTCTTTACACATTCAATTTTGAATTTTCCTTTTTATTTTAGGGAAAAAACTGAAACTAAAGGTTGCAATATTTTGCAAAATATGATAGATTTCTCTTATTTCTCAAAAAAAAAAAAAAAAAAAAAAAAAAGTGAAATATCTCTTCTTGCTAAAATTACTAATTTCCGTTTTGTCAACAGCCTTTTATTTTTTCTAATTTACACCAAAGTATATATTTTCACTTAAATTAAACTTTTGTTCTGAAACGGAAAAGTCAATAATGATTGCTTATCATTATAATAACTGTTTTTCACCAACAACTTTTTTTTGTCGTCATTATATTGTCATTTTTGACAAGTTGCTATCATAATTATGGTTTATTATTATTGTTATTATTATTATTATTATTATTATTATTATCATCATTATTATTATTATCATTATCATTATCACTATCATTATCATTGTCATTATCGTTATCGTTATCATTATCATGGTCATTGTCTTTGTCATTGTCATTATCATTATCATTATCATTATCATCATCATTACTCCCTATTATTTTCATCATCAAATCACTAAAAATATGAAAGTGAACAAATAGAACTGATTTAAAATTTAGCAAAAAAAAAATTTTTATTCTCGATAATATGCAAACGAATGCATTTCTGTTACAAATTTTGCTTTTTAATGAACTTTCATTTTTTTCTTCAAAAGAAATAATCCTTGGCCTGCATTTGATATTTTGGACATTTGGATTATGACACCTTTATTTATAATTATCAAACTAGTTTAATACATTTCAATTTCATCTTACTCATCTTGCCCATTTAGTTTACTTCAATCGAGTTCAGTTTAATTTAATTTACTGAGGAGAAAAAAACTTTATTTAAATTTGTTAACTGTTTTAATATTTTCACATTTTTTTCTTACTTTTAAAGATGCTAAAAGTACCAGAAGACAATTTTTTTAATCATTTTTTATGAGCTAAAATAATCATACATAATTAATGTAAAATTTTGTCTTCTCTATAATTTGTTTCTTTGAAAAAAAAAGTTCAAAATTATGCCAGTTAATCAAAATATCAAACGTTATCTTAAACTGAATTAATATAATTATGCATAACTAATGCTAAAATTTCTTTTCTTTATAACTTGGTTTTCTAAATTTTCAAAATTATACTAATTAACTCAGCAAAAAACAAAAAAAAAAAAAAATGAATATTAACTTAATGTTAATGAATGGTTTACAATTTGATGAAATTTTAGTAGCATCAACATACAAAAAATATGAATTTTTAGCATGCTGAAAGTAATATAAATTTAATGAGATTTTATTACTGCGCAATCAATAAATATTTTTGGGAGAAAGGTAGAAAGAGGTAAAATAAATTGGCAATTTGATGTTATAATTAGTGGCATATTTTGAATAGCTTCCAAAATGTTATACATCTCCAATTATTTCCCACCCGAAATAAAAAGAAAACTTGCTCTTTCGATCTTTTTTTTGTCTCGTTCTCCCTCACCAAAAAAAAAGTAAAAGGTGTGATTCTTTTCATATTCTCACAAATATTTCTTGTCATTCAAAAAGCCTCAATTGACATTTTTATTTGTTATAAAAATTTCAAGCAGGTCCAATTTTTTTTCTTTCCTCTTTTTTTGTGTTAATACTATTGTCTTTTTTCTTTCATTTATTTTAAATTTAAAAATTATTTGATTAATTCAATTTCAGATCACGTGTTTCAAATTTATTGTCTTTTTTCTTATTTTTCGTCTTTTTTTATTCTAAAATTAAAAATTATTTGATTGTTTTGTTGTAAATCAAGAATTTAAATTTTTTTAAACACATAAAGAATACTGAATATTTGAAGTTTTATATTGTAACTATGGCCTTCAAATAGTAGAAACTGAAATGCAAAATAAACAATGCAGTGGATTGGTAAATAGAAGTTAGAGGAATATCGATAAAGGAATAAGTTAGGATGAGTCGACTGGTTGTTGTGTTGCTGTTATTGCTATGACAAGAAGGTTGTTGTCCTGGCTACTCAAATGATGACTGAGAACAACAATTAACGTATGTCAACCGTCCATAATATATATTGTTGTTTGTATGTGAATAGGTCACCGCCACTTGTCGGACGACGATAGCAAATAACGTAATTTGATGAGTGGCTGTTGTTGATTGTTAAATGCAACGATCGCTTGGTGATGGACGAAGAAGAGGAAGAAATTAGACATTAAGAAGGATAGAACTAAGGTTAAAAAGAAGTTAAAGGAGAGAAAGAAAGATAAGGACCACAAAATATCCCTAAACAAAACGGCTAATATAATTTGTTTCACTTTGTTTGACTTCTGAACCATTTTAAGCAGCAATTGATATTGCTATTTTTGCATATATTATTTAGCTTTTCTTGTAAATTTATTTTGTGCACAAAAAAATATATGAATGTGGATAATAAATATGAATTAAGTATCCCCATCATTCTTACTCAATTCATTGTTCATCGTTCAGGAGATGAAAAGATGACAAAAGTATGAAAGAAAGAAATAATGAGAAATTGAATGAATGAATATATATAAGTGACTAGCCAACTGAGGACATATGACCCAAGGTCACACCCTTGATATATTCTCATATTTCTTTTTTCCATCATCTAAAAAGCTTTTTGATACCGGATTAACGGTGCTGACCTTCACTACACCATTAATTTAACCATTTCTTTTAAGCACAATGCTACTACCGAAGTGGATTATATCATTCAGAGCGGTAAATCATTAACAAAATTTGTGATGAGAAAAACAGTAATAATGAAGACAGAAAGATGAAAAGGAAAAAGCTCTCAACATTTTTCATCCTAGTATATCTACCTCTTCTATCTATAAGTAAAAAGAGTGGATAATCTGTTCTATTTCTTGGTAATCATGAAAAACGAGTATTTCTCATCCGGAAAATTTCTCACTAAATAAGATATGAAATTAGCGTGTCATCATCATCATTGAATTTTTCTTTTCAACATTGGATATATGGATGTGGGCGGGATGAAAAGGTTTAAAATTTAACAAATGGAAATGATGAAGGATGGCTAATGTGGTGGGTTAGATTAGGAGAGGAAAAAGGGGGTTTAGGTATCCCTCCTGTTAATCGACCCCTGAAAAAGAATCATTAACATCAAACAGATATATATATATATATATATATATATATATAACATAATATTAGACATGAATGAAATCAAGAAAGGAAAATTGGAAAAGGCGGAGATGACGAGAAGCTATAGCTCATTGTTGTAGAAGCAAACATTTTCATCTCATTTGAATGTTACAACTAACTAGTATAAGGGTAGATTGATGGAGAGTGTATATGTATATATATATATGTGTGTGTACGAGAGATACTATTATTAGCTTCGTCCACTAGTTCGAATAATTTTGAGCTTTGTTGTAAGAGAAATTAACAAAGATGGAACATAATTCGAGAAGAATGAGGGAAAGATAAATAGGGTAAAGGTGCTATATTGTCACTTTTATGCGCTATGATCACTATTCTCAATTACTAATTGTTTTCTTTCTCTTAAGCATTTCAGTATTTTCAGTGATCATTTATATATATATATAGGAAATATTAGTAATATCATTTTATATAATCATTATTGTAAATTGGCTTTACATTTTTGAATATTGATTTAATTCCTGTTATGATTGATTATAAAAATTGAAATTGTTATAATTTTTGTATATGTATTTTAGATTGTGAATGCCTAACTTCTTAACAACAATAACAGCAATAACAATAATAGTGATAGCATTAGCAGCAGCAACAGTAAGAGTCACGATTGATCAGGATAAGGAACAAGCTGAATTGCCAACTTAAAGAGAATCCAAAATTTGTTCCGGTCCATATTCCTTCTCAACCAATTTAAAATTTCATTATTATTATTGTTGTTATTACTACTATTATTATTATTATTGTTACTTTTATAATTATTATCATTACTATCACCATCATCTTACAAGAGCAATAATGGTTTATCAGCCGAGTTCGAAAATTGGCATCAAAATGGAATATATCATTTTCCTGCAGCTTTTATCAATTATTACCGGTATGTTCCCATTTATCATTTATTTATCATATATATATATATATATATATATCTGTTTATGTTTTGCAGGTCTTTTTCCTACTTTTTTAAATTTCAATTCAAAAAAAAAACATAAGAATTCATTTTTTTTTTCTTATTTTGTTACCATATACATATGTATTTACATAATTACATGATAATAGAACAGTTGGTGATTTAGAGTGAAAAAGATGATAACCTTATTTTGTGTGTGTTTTTTCTTTTTTTTTTTATTTATGTAAGAAGAATCATTTAATTTGAAGAACCTTTAAAATGAATATCCAGTAATTTAGAAGTAATTAGACATTTCGTTTTCTCATTTCTTCTCCTTCACTCTCTTTTCATTCCTTTTTTATACACAGAAGATCGAACTGATGTTCATTATATTGTGAGCGGTAATGTTCTAATTATTTTTCTTCTCACATCAAACAAATCTCTTTCATTTTTCCAAAAAAAAGAAGGAAAAAAGAGAAGCGAGAACCATAAATATTGTTAAAACTGAAAAAGAAAAATCAGTTCATCAAAATTTTCATAAATCAATAATATGCTAATTAAAAACGAAAAAACAAAACCAGTAATTGTATTTGTAATTTCAACAATGTTTAAAATATTTTACTCTTTTTAATTCAAAAAAAGAAAATAATAGCTTTCTTCTTTCGTTTGAGGCAAAAGAAAGAGATGAAAATTAAGGAATGAAAAATTAGTTATCGATTATATATTATTACTTTTTCACTGCTATATAATTAAATGAGAGACTGCAATGATCCTGAAAATATCTGCTTTATTCTATGGCGTTTTATTTGTCATTATTTAAGTTAGTAATTATTTTTAATTAACGGCTCATTAATTTTTACAAATTCAAATTATTCATTTGAACGTATAATTATCAATGCGAATCCATAAGATTGGGTTGACTGATTAACAACGACCAAATAATGACATCAAACTTGTCATTATCATTTCTGTTCCAATCTTTCAAATGAAATTTAAATTTACCTACTGTTGATATTTCAATACTAAATTAGATCTATATGAAATATTGTGTTTTATTAAAAATGTAAATGTACGATATAAAAGGAAAAAGTTTTTTTCTCCAACAATGTGAAAGAAAAAAACCTCCCAGTTCAAGAAATTCGATTCATAATAGAAATTAACCATTGATCATTGATATTATTATTGATATTTATATTTGCAGTAATAGTTATAAATCATTTAATATGATCCGATACACATTAATTTTCTTAAATCTTGATAAGTTTGAAATCGTTTTGAACACTTTCATTCAAGAAGCAATATAATACGTCTACTTATTCTTACGATTAATAGGTTCATTGGGAACAAAGAGGAAGGGAGAGAGAGGGAGAGGAAAAAAAGGGGGAAGATGCAATATTGCCATTTGTGAAGAGTCAAGAAATGAGGTTTTAAATTTAGCCATATGATTGATGTTATTTGATAGGATTGTTTAGTTGGATGAAAGCTTTCACACAACTATGGCATTTCTGAAATTTCAGTTATGATATTGTGACATATATGCATACATACATTATATATATATATATATATATGAATTATGCTTGACTTTATATTTAAAGTTTTTTTTTTCATTTTTAATACAAATATTTAACAACTTTTATCATTATTAATATACTTTTCTTCCGATTTGACTGAAAAATGAAGCAGTAATTTTAAAAAGTTACTGCATCAATTATGATTTAATATTAATTTTGATAAGAATAAATGAAAAAAAAAAAAAAAAACTGGTAATATTTTTCTTTTTTCTCCGTGCTATAATAAAAATTTGTTTCATAGATATAAATTTTGAGTCCAGGAGGAAAAAATTATTCATTTCTATCATTATTATTTAATAAAAAAAGAGAAAAGAAAACTTTCGTATTAAGTCAGTTTCTTTCTATGGCAAACTTTTTATTTTTTTTTGTTTAAAATTTTCTCTTACTTTTATTGCATAATACTAATAGAAAAATTTTAGTACTTAGTAAAAAAAATTTTCAGAATTTTTTTTCCAAATAACGATAATTCATCTTTAACTTTAGAATATAGCTAAAAAAATAATTATTTCTTCCTCATTTTTCTTTTCTTAATGATCCTATATGAAATAAAGTTTATTTACTGTTTGCTATTTGTTTATTCTGATTTCAAATTCTTTGAAAGTAGAGAAAAAAAAGTTTTTTTTTTTTTTTTTTTTTTTCATATCTTCTTCGTACACACAAGTAGCTCGTTGTTTAGCACCTAATTATTATTTCAAATAGCGATAATTCATTTTTCACTTAGTTATCTAATAAATCATTTAAAACAACAATAATGACACTTCTTTTCTCTATGAATATAAACCTTATGTAGTGTGATTATTTGCAATTATTTATGAAATCAGATCTTTGTTTTTTTTTTTTTTTTTGATCAAATTTAAGCAACAATTATTATTAAAATTAATTTTATTGAAATTTTTAATAGTTTTTAACAGTTCATTGATAGCAAAAAATGAGTAATCATAAATTGTTCTTACTAAATAATATATGGAAAGTTTTTTTTTTTTTCTGTTTTTGGATTTTGTTGCAGACAGTAAAGAATATTTCGGACTAAAAATTGATCATTTCTTTTTTTTTCTTTTTTTGTTTCCCTTTAGGATGGGAGGTGCATATTTTACCAACAGCGCAACAACTGCAAAACCGGAAAAGTGATGAAAATACAGCTATGATTTGTTCAGTAATCGGTTTACAAAAAGATCGCAATGCTAAAGTTGATATTAAATGGTATCGTGAGGGATATGAAGTGCCCATTAATCGGCATGAAAGGTTTGCTTGTTTATTTGTTTATGTATTTGTTTTTATTTTTTTGTTTTGTCGTAGAGAGAAAGTCAAAAAAGAAAGAAGAGGTGAATATAGTAGTAATTTATAGCAATATAATTGACTACCAAACATTTTTCTCTATCCATTCTGAAATTTTTATTCAGTTTTTTTTTTCTTTTTCTTTTTCGGGATGAAATTGTAAAATAATTTTTTTTTTTGCGAATTTTTGGAATAACTTTTGAATAAATTGTTTCGAAATTTTATGAGATGAAAGTTAGTAGCAAATGATGTTAAATTTAGAGTTATTTTAAATGTGGTAATAATAAATGCATAAGACTTATGTAATGTATTATCCAGTATTTTACTAATTGCTATGTTTGTGAAATCGATACGTTTCGCTTTGAAATAATTTCCGTTGAATAATTTACATCCTTACTGTCAATTATTGTTACGGAAATTTTCAAGGAAAAAAAAATTAGTGCTTGAGATTTTGTTGGTTGAGTAAATTAGTAAGCAGATAAGCAGAAATGATCTATTAGGATTGTTTTCAAATTTGAATCAAAGAATACTGGTCGGATGATAGATCGAAATATAATTGATCGATTGCATCACTTTTAATTGATATACCTGTGATGGATTTCATTATAGGTATACCAATTAGAAAATTCATTACCTTATATTAAAAATTCATTCTTTTTATAATATATATTTTCTGTCATAGTTATATTGAAAGTTTTTTTTATTTTCTTCTATCCGTTTCGTTTTACTTAATTTTTCTTAGCCTAAATTTACTATTTCCTCATAATAAAATGATTCTTCTATTTTCAAATGTCATTCAATTTTTACGCATGGATTAACAAATAACTGATTAATTTTAATCAAACTTATCAATGTGCATAAGAAATTTCCCATCTATCATAATAATACAATAACTAACATTTCCATGTGTAAACAAATTGATGAAATTTTACTATTGAATTGTTGAAATTGTTATTAATTGTACGATATTCACTGAGAAAATTTGTAACTATAACAAATATTTCTAGCAAATAAGATTAGGTATTTAAATATGTCTTATATGATTAACATAATATTCGTTTATATTTGATTCTTTACAATTCTAATCATTTCATTTATTCAGCCATTAATCGGTTAGATATAAAATAATATAACAACAATAAAGTGAAAAATGTTCAGTAAAATATGTATATAAAAAAATTAACTGAAAAAATTAAAGAAAAATTTACTGAAATATTTTTGGAATAAAAAAATAAAAATTTTGTGAAACATTTATGGAATGATATTCCATGCATTAATTGAATGCATCAAATTGTGTTAGTCATATTTAATATTACTATTGTCTCACAGTTTGTTTCTTTTCCATTCCTTCTGCCTCTCTCTCCCTCTTCCTTATTCTTTGTCTTCTCTTTCTTTTAACAATATTATTAATTAATAAAAAATTCTAATTTATTATCCTAAATATCCAAATAATTTTATTAAATTCCACAAAAATTATTACAATTTTTTGTAAGACATTTAATCACCAAAAAAAAAAAAAAAAAAATTATATCGAATTATCAAATATTTGATTGTTTTCTTGATAATAAATGTAAAATATTTTCTTTCGTTTTTCTTCTCCTCTGTTTTACTTTTTTTACTGATAGATAAGCGAAAAAAATAAAATGACAATAATATAAATGATATTACAAATCAAACAAAACAAAAAAATACATATTTTAGAAAAAAGAAATTTTTTCTAAAATATTCGCCTATTTCCTCGATATTAGCAATTTTTGTGCCTTTTTATATTAGCTAATTCATGGGAATACTTTTAAACATTGTATCCAATTTGTCGTAAAATGCATCACTTTTTCTCTACATGTCGGTATGTATGTGTGCGTCTGTTTGTCTTCTGTTTATGTCTGTGTTTAAGATTTTGTGTTTGGGTTTTAGATTTTGGCCATATGCAATTTATGTAAATGAAGCAAACCATCATAGCCCTTAAATACGCATCGTCAGCAAATTTTGAATCATACAAATTCAAGAATGAAAAAAAAATTCACTATTTCTTTCCCTTCTTTTTATAGCCTTTTTCTTTTTCTCTCTTTCTCGCTCTCTTTCACATAATTCTCGTTCGTATTAGTTTTTTTTTCGCTATCATTTTTATTTCATACCAAACGAAGGGAAAGATTTTTTTTATGTATGGAGAGAAAAGAAGAAGAAAAAGAGAAATGTTAATGAAATAAAAGCCTTCTCTTTTTTTCTCGTTTCTTTTAGACCTTATCTTTATTAAATTAAATTAATTGAAATTTAATTTGGAATTTGAAATGACAACTCCAAGATTCGGGATATTATGTTTTTAATTAATTTTAATGGAATATAAATAAACTTGATTTATATTTTTAAAAAAAGAAAAGGAATTTAGAATGTAAATTTACAGCTGTATTAAACTAATTAATTCCTTTCAGTTTTTTTTTTGCCTCTTACATTTATTTTAACTTTTTATGATCCGATAAGAGAATATATCATGTAGTGTGATAATGATATGTGAATGTGAGCGGAATGATACAGAACGATCAAGAAATGCAGGCGCGTTTTTACACATAAAAAAAAAAAATTGAATTACAATGGTTCTTTGTAATAAAATATTTGATGTAGAATTAAATTTCCTAAATTTCACTTTTTTTATCCTTTCCTGGTTTTTGTTTGTTTTTTGTTTTTTTTCTAAAGGATAGCAGTAAGTCGTATGAAGCCATTATCAGCTCGATTACTTTTTATCAAACCGACAGTTGAAGATAGTGATACATATAAATGTGTGGTCAGTGTTAACAATGGTAATGATCAAATAAAAGAGAAATCAGCGAAGATATCATTCATTCGTTCGTATTCTTTCAGATGTTATTCATTCAATTTAAATTTTCAAATTTAAAGTAAGAATGAAGAAAATCAAAAAGAAAAAGATGTTTAGTTTACAATAAAAAATTTTTCACAATTATTGAATGTAATTTTGAGAAAATAAAATAGTTTTGATTAAAAATTAATTATCAAAAATGTAACAAAATGCATATGTAATCAGAAATAAGTTTCAGTTTTAGAAAAAAGAAGAAAAAAAAAGCCGAAGAATGGAAAATTTTCAATATATACTTTAAAAATGAAATGAAATGAAATTTAAGAATAATCTAATGCTTAAGAATGCTTAAATTTAAATAAAAAAAAAAAAATGCTTAAGAATGCTTAAATTCTTACTTATTTAAGAATATGAAATATTAAAATAGTTTATTCTTCTAGAAGCAGCGGAATTTATTGATGTTGAATTGGAACAGCATCCGGAAGAGGGTAAAGATGCGGAAATTATATGTCGTGTACATGGTGATCCATCGTTAGAAATTTTTTGGCAATTTGAAGGCAAAACCATCCTTGAAGGTTTGTTTAGTAAGAGAAATTTGATATATATATATATTCTTTTGAAAAAAATTATGAAAAAAAAAAATTGAGAATTTCATTAATATTACTTTCCTTCCATATGTCTTCAATGGGTCGCATTAAATTGTGAAATTCATTATGTATTTGTAGTAATCATTTAAAAGCATTTTAATGCCACAAAAAAAAAGAAACAAAATCAATTCTGGGGCATTTATAAAATTGATGAAAAATGAAATTTTTTTTTTAAATAAATGCAGCAGAAAATTGTCTGATTATTTACTTATATTATGAAGTGATAAATCATTTGTATTTCATTTCATTTTTTTTTTTCCATCGTTTATTTGAAAAAGCAATTGTTTGTTTTTTCTTAATTTTAAGTGAACAAGTAATAATAATCATTTTGCGGAATACTAATTTAATTTAATGGGAGAAAGAAAGAAAAAACCAATTATTTCTTTTTCGCATTTATATGAATGATGAAAGAGAGAGAGAAAGAGAAAGGGAAAGAAAAAACGATTGGTTTTTTATCTACATATAATAAGCATTACTTAATATAATTTAATTTATGTGCTTACAGGTGGACCACGAAATTATGAATTCAAAGATGCAAATCAAATTTTGGTAATCCCAAAATATGATTCCGATCTTGATGATGGTCAATACACTTGCAGTGCAGCACAGTTCTACTCTTTCGAAACTGTTACTATCAATGTTACTGGATATGGTTTGTTGAATTTACACATTTTTTCCTTTTTAAAATTTCAAAAAAAAGTTATTTACAATGTATTTATTGAATTTTTGAAATATTTTTTAGTTTTTATTAAGCACATTTTAAGTTGAATGCTAGTTTTTTTCTTTTCATAATTTAAAATCATTTCTTTTATAGAGTTCTTTTTTTTTTAAATTTTATAGCACGCCCCAAAATAACAATACTTGATGGATCAGATGCAACATATGGTGTTGAAGGTCGTGATTTTGTGATTCGATGCCAAGCTATCGGTAAACCTAAGCCTCATTATCAATGGATAAAATATGCTGTTAGTATTACTTTTGTCTTTCCCCTTTTCTTTTTTTAATATTTGTTGTAAAAGTTGCTTATGAATTTTAAATAAAAGATTGTAAAATCAAAGAGTGCTTCACTCTAACCATTCTTGATTATCTGGAAGAATAAGTGAAAAAAAAAAGAGAGAATGAGGGAGAAAAAGAAGAGAGGAGAAAAAAAAGGCAATGATTTAATGAGAATAAAATTTAAACCGTTTCTCGAAATTTATGCTTTATTTCATTTTAAATTAATTCTTTTTTAGGATGGAGATGAGGAGACTATTGCATTGTCAGAGAAATATGATATAAATGATGGTACTCTTATAATTCGGGATTTAATCCCAGCAGATCGTGGTACATACAGTTGTATTGCCAAAAATGCTTTAGATGAAACACGAATCGATTTCAACTTAACAGTTTTCAGTAAATTTTTTTTTTTTCTTATGCAAATTAATATTGATGATATTTTTATTTACTATTTTAGTTTACTTTATGTTTATTTAACTCAAGGCATCAATGTTTTTGTTGATTACATGAAATTGTTTCAATGAAACAAAGGTTTTTTTTTCTTGGAAATCTCAGGTAAACCAAGGTTAAAATTAATGAAGAATTTGACAATTACACGTGGTGATACCGTCAAATTGGTTTGCGAATATAGTGGTGATGGTTATCTGAACGCTAAATGGTTACATCTTGGACAAGAATGGTCAAGCAGGTTAACAAATCAAAGTGAACGAATTCTCGGCTTTAATGCAAGTTTACTTAACAGATATGATACTATTATTGATAATGGTTTAAATTCTGGAAATATTGCTGCTGAGGTGTACTGTTTCAATTAATTTTCTTTTTTTAATTTAGTTTCTCCTAAATACGTAAATATTTCGAAATGTTTACGTTGCTGCTCTTTATCATCCTTCTCGGTTTATTATTTTCAAGAACATTATATCGGGATTTTCAGGATAACCATGTGACGATTAACGAAGGTAATGGTATTATTGTATTGACATTGACAGCAGTGGATGAAGATGATGCTGGCCAGTACCAATGTGTAGCAGAAAATGAAGCCGGCACGGATCAAGGCTCTGTATTCCTCTCCATTATTCGTACGTTTTCAGATTTAGTTATTTTCGGTTTAAATTGGAATTGTTGCCAGATTTCCATGAATTTTGTTAAAAGAATTAAAATTTTACCACAGCTCAGATGCAGCACGAATTGTTGACCATAGTGGAACAAAACGTGCCCTAAAAGGTGATGTAGCGGTGATTCATTGTGGTGCAAGTGCTGTTCCGGAACCTATTTGGACATGGACTGGTCCATCCGGTGTCATTTATGCTGATGGTTCGAAGTATATCCTCGATGCTCGAACTGTTACCGCAACTCTCACCGTATGTATCTAATTTCTAATGATGTAGTGCTTGTATATTTGTCTTCGATTTTTTTTCTAAAAAATCGAATTTTTAAATTTGGGATGTTTTTATTGAAGTAGTCGAAATATGAAATTTTAGGTACGAGATGTTAATCAGCATGATTTCGGTAAGTATACCTGTACGGCTGATAATGGTATTGGTCCGCCAGATCACGCTGAACTTCGATTAATTGAAATTTGTAAGTTTCGATAGTTTGTTACACATTGCTTAATTTCTTGTTGAATACGTTTATTGGTTTCTTCACTTTTTCTCTATGATATTATCGATTAAAATATTGCGATCAATATCATTCATTTATATTAAATCTTTTTAAAAGCGACCATTTATGGATAAATGAGATTGAAATTTAGGAAAATAAAAAAATTGAACTACCGTTTCCAGTCATTAGTTTATCACTTTTAGTACCACCGCTAACACCGACGAAACTAAATTGCCATGAACATGGTTATCCAAATTTTGGTATATGCACTATTGGTGAACTGAAAAACTCTCCGGCTGGAAAATTGCCATCAAATATTACATTTTATATTATACCTGAAGATAAGGTTTGTTGTAACTCACAAATTTAGTCCTTTAGAATTAACGGCAGTTTCTTTAAAGCTTGTTAGTTATATATTCATATTTTACAGTGTTTCAAAATTAGAAAACTTTCTCTACTAAATTTTTTGCCAAATATTTCGATTCGATATAGAAAGACATGTTGCAGACAAACAGAGACAACGTTAAAATGGATGCCATGAATGTAACTTTTGAATTTGATGGCGAACGTGAATTTAAATTTTACCATTTGGAACCAAGAAGCAGATACAAAATTCGAGCGCAAGCGGTTAACGAAGCTGGTGCATCAGAACTGAGTGCTCCCGATATCATCGAAACTACAGATCCATGGGGTAAATCGTACCAAACTTCTCCAAAGTTGAATTCAAGATTTTCCACAAAATCGCTTCAGTAAACTATGTAAAAGAATCGTGAAAAATAAATGACTGAATCTTGTTAAGTTTTAATTTTATTGAAAATAGAAAATTAGTGTCATCTTTCCGTGTTTAATTATTGAGAGCAAAAAATAATTTTTTCTTCCGTTATCATTCTGTTGTTAGGATAAAATAAAAGTTGCTGGCATACCAGAATAATTTTACAGCACCGGATACGCCGACTAATATACAGTACGATTGTTCGAAAGCTTGTAAAATGGTTTGGAGTGAGCCAAACAACCGTGGTTCACCAATTACTGCATACAAGTTAATCCTGAAAGAAATTGCACATGCTGAAATGATGGTACATTTTAATATTTTTATTGCCGATTGATGTTTTTGAAATACTTATGTATCTTGTTATTCAGTTATTTCATCCCTTTGACTTGAATCGTTTTCAATTACTTCCGACTACTTTCAATTGCCTAATTAATGTTGTCATTTTACATTTCCACTTAATCGAATAAAGTAAAAAATTAATTACTTATCGATTTTTTCAACAGAAAATTTTGCAGAAACATTACGATACGGAAAGTTTCGAGCTTGATTTAGGTGCTGATGATCTCAAAGTGGATTTATCATTCTTGAAACCCCTTACAACCTATGAAGTAAAACTAATTGCCGTAAATGATGTTGGTAGCAGTAATGCTCACTCAATTGTGCTCAATACATCTGGTTAGTCGATCGAAAAATTGATTTTTTCAATTTCTTCTTTGTTTTCTTGATTCAATAAATTCAAAATTTTATTCCGTAAATTATTTCATGTTGGCGTTTGATGATTTAAAAGAACTGATGAGTAAACTGAAGGAAAATAATATCGATTTCTCAATTAATGATTGTTGTTTGTGCAATAATCCTTTCAGTAATAACAATTTACAGAATATGCGGAAGATGGTCGTCGTGATGGTGACTTCAGTTGGTTGACAATTTTATTGTTAATCATTGTATTACTTATATTTTTAGCTCTTATCATAGATGCTATGTGCTGTTTAAAACACCATCGTGGATTTTTAGCATTAATTTGTTCAATATTTTTTGAAGCTAATCAAGAAGAGCACGTTAGCAAGTCGAAAAGTGGCTTACAAAATGATAAGTTCGTTTTGTTGGGATATTTAAAATACAAAACAGTGTTGCTATCAGTTGTAACGTTGTAACGAAATTTATGAAATTACGAGAATGGCCAGTCAGTCAAAATTCAAAAGATAGTGATCAAATAAGATGCAACATATTTTGCTAATGATTGGTTCAATCGATTAAAATAGTTTACTTTTTATGTATTCCCGAATGTTGAAAATTTTTGATTGGAAAATTTGTTCTTTTTCATCAACGATTATTTCTGATAAATATTATTTTCAGAACTGAGAATAATTGCTTACTCATAGATGAACGAAACAGTTCGCCAATTACGGTGAAGTACGTTTACTGAATTTATGCAAAGAAATTACTCAGAATCGTGCATTTGTTAATTTTTTCATCGCTAAATTTCGTTCGTAGATATATAAAAGCTGAAAATTTTCAACCGCATTTGAGAAATGTTTCACTCTTTCAATGGTTGCATTATTTCAGTCATGATGAGAGGTACAGGAATGGTCCTCATTCAACACCTGTATGAAATAAGTGTAAGCATCGTTAATTTTTCATATCAGTGTGCATTTTTGAGGCAAATTTTGCTTTCATTTCAATGACTGCTTCTCATTCATTTTGTTCCAACTAAATTTTTTTAGCATGATGTGACATCGAAAGTAACATCAAAACAGTGTTTCATCCTTTCCCTCAAATGGATAGATATGCTAAAAATTTGCAAAGTGCGCAAAGAAGACAGAAAGTTTATTTCTTTTAATTAGGAAAATTGAGATTGTTGCCTAAGACTATCCGATTTGATAAGTGGTTTCAAAATTCTCTCTGAAGAGGAAGAGAAGCACTGTGATGAGTTTTGGACGAATTTGCTTATTGATGTAGTGTAATTATTAATGTTCCAATTGTGCCTTATTGGAATATGTTTCTTGTTTTTATCGAATTTTCCACATTACTTCAGCGTGTTTTGTCAGTCATATGTTTTGATCGATGAGGAACTTTTGCAAACATTACAGATGATCTCAAAAGTTTGATCATAAATTTTAATACAAGAAATAATTTGTTAATCCTTTCAAATATCTCAAAAGACAAAAACGCTTCTTATCATGTTACAAGCGTAGCTTCATGCTTGCTAATTTATCGGGTCCAATATATTAAGCCATCTCATTCATTTGTCTAATTTCATTTCATATTATTAATGACGTAATAAAGCACTGCATAACGAAATAATATAATTCCATGTATAAGGTACCGTATCCGAGAAAGAAAAACCATTCACTTATCCATCCGATCGCTTATGTCAACAGCAATAAAAACATCGAAAGATGACACACCTCCACGACTTCGCTTTCTTGTGCAAGTCACACAGGCGGAAGGTTTCTGCGTAGTGTGCTACCATTTCAAGCTTATCGCAACTTTCAGATTAAGGAGTAGAAATGTCCGGGTATATCCCAACGCCTGAATCAATAAGTGTGCGAGAAATATTATTGCAAACAGTAAACTTTTTACTATACCTTACATAAAAGAATGCACATACAAATGTAAAGCATATTGGTGGCTCTAAAGAAGTAGGCTTAAAGTAACATTAAAATTACATTACTTAGGATCATCAGTTTGCTTCGAGGTTGATTCCTGATTTGACGGTTTCGAAAGTAGCGCCAGTAAACATCCGGTTTATGCAGTAAATTATCACCTTTTCTACACAAATTCATTTACAAATTCAATCAAATTATGAGGTAATCGGTTAAACTAAATGTTCAATAATACGGCATGTTTTGGACGGAATTCTATCCTCTTCCTTCATAAGATCGGGAATATCTTTGAACATTTCTGTTACATTCACTCGTAAGCAGAATTGACTATTGTAGCTCAAGAAAGTTCAATCAATTTCGTCGAGCTGACTCATTTTCATTGACACCACATGGATGATAGATTCATTTAGGCTGACATTTGTCGGGGTTCTACTGCTTATATCACATGTATTCATACAAAAGACGTCAAATTTTTGTTTGGGAGTTTAGTCGCGAACGATTACTTCAATTTTTGCAAATTAGTAACTGATCAGTGGAATCCTCTTCAGCGGCTGGACGTTGGGTTTTCAGATTTAAAGTACCTCCTATGAATTTTATTGAAGTTTTTTCTTCCCTTTAATTAGTCACTGTTTTTGCAAATATCTATACTATTTAGATTTTGAAATAATTGAAACAGTGTTGAAATGTGTGACAAAGTTTCATTCAAGCTGTTTTATTTCATTAATAACAAAGTGAATTACGAATTCCAACTTCTCTTATTGTTACAGTCCTCGACTTCTGCGGTATTAGTTATATTACTAAATGTCCCCCTTCAGAAAATAGGAAGACAGTGATTTGTTTTTCTCAGTATTGACAATGGATAATTTAGGAAAATCGGAAGAAATCACTATCATTATCATTACTACCTTTTATTTATAAGGAACTTATTAAATTTGTCGAATTTTTCAAACCAAAAATAAAAATCAAAAATATTTTTTCTTCAGATCTAAAGTGAAATTTACAGATTCCTGCAGCACACAATAATCATTCTCAGCACCGGCAACTTAATATGCCAGTGACTAGAACAAGGAATTTCAGCTTCCTTTCATGTCTATCAAATGGAAAAGCTCATCTGCAACATCGATTTCGAGAACTGGAGACTGAGTCCTGAAATTTATTGCTAATCCAGCGCATTCAAATCGGTGAACCCATAAACCAGTCTGAATAGCCGTAGTGATATGGAAGCGATAGTAATAAGTGGTACATTAATTATGACATTAAGATGCATAACCGTGCAATCATCACACCAAGTATTGGTGTTAGGAAAATAGATTCCCTACTAAAGTTCAAAAACAGTGCTCAAAATTGAAACAGAAACTTACAACAAGTCGTTGGCAAATATTAAGCCAATATATTCATAAATCGTCCTTCACAATTCAGCGGCTTATAGGAATCGTTTGCCCTCCAAACTCGTTGAAAACTTCGTTCTTGAAAAACATTATCGAATGAGAAATAATTTTCCAGGTAATAATTTTGTAAACTTATCACTAATGAGTCTTTAACTGTTCACGGCTTGATTCACCGTTTACACTTGCTAAAATCAAAAGTATGAAAGATATTATCATTTTGAAATTTGGGTTTCAAACTCTACTTCACCACAGAAATTTTCAAACTCATTGCTTAGTGCAATAAGAGCCAACTGATTTCGCTTCAGTTCTCGCTATATTTGTGATTATCGTCTAGGAGATGGCATATCAAACTCACAAATTATCCGACATTCGATGTTGCTCAGATTTTCTCATAATTCTACCACATATTTCATTTGAATTCAAACTTACTCCATTTATACCTTGAAGATCGTCACTGATACTGTCCCCTTCCGATGATTCTTCGTCCGAGTTTCCAGTTATTTTTACATCAAAATCCATATTCGCAGCTGGCAGTGGTCTGACTAGCACTTTCGAATCCTTGTCATCATTTGGAGATTTAATTGATAAAGCATAACTAGTCTGCTGCGGTCGTGGAACATTTGTCTTCTTGAACCAAATTCGGACAAATATTAGTTAATAAAGATTTAGGTGACATCATGGGATGCTCGGATTCTGTTAAAAGAGAGGTGATTATCAAGGGGAAACGACTTAGTTGCAGGATAATAAAGTAACATATTTTAAAAGCTTAACTTATCTAAGGATATGATTTCTGTTTCATTCATCGCCTGCTTAAACTCCGGTAACTGATTATCACTAACGACAGAAGTATGTCCGTCAGGGTAAGTCCCTATATGTTTGGTGTGGTGTGATAGTTCTAGTGGTGTTGCAGGTCTGTTCCTTATTAAGCACTTCTCTCGTCCGGAGTCGCTCTGAATTCAAGCAGTTTTAACTAAGTAATTTTGAAAAGTACAAAAAAAAAAAACTGACAAACTGGAAAGCCTACAAGAAATGGACTAAAATGTTTCGGAGATAATGCTTGGAATTTCCATCTTTCCCGATCACAACGAAATTTTAAAACCCTCCGCAGATGTTTATTGATATGGCTATTTATTGTAGACTATAATTTTCCAATCTTATCATCTGTATTTCCCGAAGCTGTGCATACATTATCAGGACAAAACTTCGGTTTCGCGGTCCATTTGTTCGTTGTTTTTTTTTACAACAACCACTAGTGATATATATTTTCATCACTTTATTCGTGCGCTCACACACGGATGATTTTTAGAAGGTTCATATGGCCGGTTCATACCTTCACCTTTAATTCCAAGAATATTCCGGTTATTTTTTTGTATTATTTTCTCACTTGCATCAATCTTCCTAGAGTATTAATTTCAACCTTATTTCCATGTTTACATTTAATTATTTCTTTTCCATTATTGGAATCAGTTGGACCTTCAAATTCTCTTCTCTTATTTTCAAATTTCTCTAGGTTTTTTGCTCTAACGTTGAGATATGCATTAGCAAATGAGAACGGTAGTTTCTGGATGATCACTTCATCTACGTTATGTTCGCTTTCTTTTTAAACCACCGTAAGAAATGTACCACTGCTATGTCCATTTCCAAATCTTTAATATCTTCTTAGAGCTTGCAATTGCTGCAAATCTTATGGACAATCGCGGCAAAGAAAGTTAAACCTCTTCATCGTTTTCCTGTAATGTTCTCACAGAAGTTCCAATGTCATTTTGAAGAGGTCTTAACTGATCAGCAATGCTACGTTCACAAGCCTACAAATTAACCATATTTTCATCCAAATCACGGATGGTTTCTTTCTGAACAATGCATTATAGTATGCAACTTTTTAAGAAGGTTAACCAACTGCCATAATTTGTTCTTCAGTCATAAGTAAAGATCCTCATCCGTATATAGATTCTTTGTGATTGAAGATTTTCAAAACTTAAAGTGAAATAGAATCTATCAATTCATTAAAAATTATAATCCAAATGACAAAACTAACCATCTTTCATATTAACTTACTCATGCTTAACACTTGGTTAAATGAGTGTTTGTAAAGCAAATCCAGATAATAATAGTACTTCAATATATTACCATCAACATTTTTCTATCCCAAGTGCAAACAACACATAGATTGTTGTTTCATTAGACAGTGATAGTTAAATGTGAATTAGGAATGTTGAAAGGAGAGATTGGTGACTGTAGCTAGACATAGAAATCTTTAAGGGTAATATCGATTAGTGAAACTAAAGCATAAAAAGCTAACAGCCCTAAACTTGAAAAAGTAATTCCAAAGAGATACCATGGTAGATTTGGATGTCTCTGATCAAAAAAGGAATTATGTAATCTTTGTTCTTGTAGCGCTGGTTTTGATCTTAAAATAGATCCTGGCTCAACAGGCTCTCTATCATCCTGAAAAACTAATTTCCATTAGATAACTTAAATTAGATTTCTGGTACACTATGTCCAAAAACGGCGAAATATACCTCTAAGAAGTTTTAATTTCTAAACCATCAATTTGATTAATTTAAGTGCCTCATTCTCTCCATCCTTTTCAGTTGATGTATATTTTCCTATAAATGTCGGCTGAAAAAAAAAAAAGAAATCGAACTTACTGGTGTGAGAACATTGATTTTTGACCTTAACTGGGCAAAATAATTCTGTCGAAGTTATACATTGAACACAAAATCCTGTACAGCAGTAGGTTGCAGCGGTTTTTCGCGACTGTCGGTAGTGTCAAAAAATGCAGTTGATTTGCATGGAGTTAAAACCTGGGTTAAAAAAAAAAAAAAAATATTAAGGAATAAAGTTTTTTCCGATTTTAAAAACATTTTCACTTGTGTGTTCAAGCACTTCACATCTTTAATTTCATAACGCTCGTTAAAGATGCTTTACCTTTATTGGTCCTAATTTTTTAAGTTCAAATTCCTGTTCACAACCTTTATTTACCTGCAGGTAGTTTCTCGCTTATATTAACTTCTTTCACTCCTTTTGCTTCGTGACTTTCAGTTACCCGTGAAATGCTAGCTACATTATTCAGATCAGTTGCAATGGCTTTTGGATCGTTCTTCTTGCTAGGCTGTACATCTAATAGCTTATACCACTATAATTTACCGGTATTTTTATCCCTGAAGTGTTTTAAAGCTCTTCATTAACTTTTTTCACATTTTTTTAATTTTAATGAAGAGTTTTTTTTTTTTCTCTCATTTTAATAGTTAAACCACGTTTACATACTATGGTGGTTAAGTCCTTTCATGCAGAAAAGTAATGGTTTAAAAACATGGATCAGTGATTTTCAGCTTTATACCGAAGGAATAACAGATAATGAAGCCTATTTATCTGTGAAATGTATCAGAGAAAAGAAATCACATTAGCCTAGAAGCTGCTAACAGTCATTCAAATAAGAAAAAAAAAAAAAAATCCAAAAAAGTACCATTGTTCTTCCGAAAAACTGTTTGAATTAACAGACTTTTCCTGATTCTTCGCTAGCTTTATTTTTATTGATGCTTTATTGGAAGCTCACTTGTAGAATTTCGAATCGCATTCTAAAATATTAATTAAATATTTTGTCTACAATCGTCGTCATTGCTGCTTCCATCACGAATACATCAAGGAAAAACTTTTTGCCTACACATAGATGAAAGGAAATAAGACATCTATGTTGGATAAAGTAGAAATTTTTGATTGAGCGTAATCGTGATCGAGAACATTGTTGCGTGGAATAGGCATGGGATACACGAGGGAATTGTTCAAGTTCTTGTCTTGAGGAACTGAAATCAAGAATTCCTTCACTGTCTACTTCTAACGAAAATAAAATCAACTGTCAATAAATTTCATACTGTTTGTATACAATTCTTGCATATAACCTGAACGGAATATGATCAAACAAAGTGACGAAAATGTTTAAAACAGCAAAATAAAAAAGAGAGAAGTGCTTATTTATAAATTATCTTTATCTGTTTTTGATTGCTGATCGAGTTTATTGCAGGTTGTTGGAAAGAAAAATTTCTTTGAAGCAACTTTATCATCAACCTTTAAAGCCCACCATCTTTTAGTATGAATTTCTTGAATAACCTCCTTTAATAAATGCAAAAATTGCTAATATTATTAAAAATAAAAAATTTCATTGATAACCACTTAGTTCGAAGTTAACATAATGAAAGAGCGCACATAAAATTTTGCCGACACAGAATAAACGTTTGGTCCTGATAACTATCATATTAATACTACGTAGTTGTTCATGTCAAAATTTGACAGTCTGTAGAAAAAAGATGACGTACAACTTCCAGCAAAAAAAAAAAAAAAAAACTATTTGAAAGCAATTCATCCAAAAGTAAAGTTATGTTTTTACGCGAAAAACAAAAGTATATTCAAATTTAATCATTACATACCTAATGTATTAGCTAAAAGTAGATAATAAATCAATACAAAAGAACAAATAAACAAAATAATCATAATACTTTAAACCAAGATTAAAACCAACTATGGATAAACAAAAAAAAAAATAACCAATACCTAAAGATATCAAACATATAACCAGCAATAAAAAAATAAAACAAAATTAGAAGAACCAAACAACAATAAAAGTTCCAAAAAAAAAAAAAGTTAAACTTAGACAAACATGAAACCAGCATTTAGATCTAATCCTGAACCTTCGTCATGTGTGAAATATCTCCAGGTAATTTTGTAACGCTAGCTATTATCAGGTGCTGAACGTTACAGGTCTAAATGTTTGATTTCCCACACCTTTAATTGTCAGAAAAGGTCGAATTTGTCAGCAAAAAAGAAGAATTCCATTAGGTCCACATTTCCTACATTTATAAGCAGATGATCATATTGCTCCTTCTCAGGACAAAAGTTATCATTATTAGTTCTTTTCCAAATTGCTTCCTTTCAGCAAATCATCATTATTAATTAAAAATGTTGTAGAAGAATTCAAAATTATATAAGTTCAAATTTTACCAATTATAAATAAGAAAATAATGATGACAAAAATAAAGCGAACATTTTATACACTTTCAAATATGGTTGCAATTGATAACATTAGCCGGCAAGCATTCAAGTGATAAAATTCAGTTCAATTTTCAGTGAAATAATTGCTAATTGAAATTTAAATTCTTGCAAATGTTACTGAAAAAAATTTTAGGAGATAATAAGGACAACTTACAACAACAAAATCCATTAAGCGACTATTTGCAAACCTGCAAAAAGAGAAAATCCATCGGATATTCTATTTAACCTATTTTCTTAATCATCAAAATATGGATGAACGATTACGATACTAACGCTGATACGTTATAAAAGTTGCACTTTTTTAAAGCAAAGAAAAGATCAAAAATAAATAGCACTTCTTTTTTCTTAATGTAAAATATTACAGGAATTATCTCTAATCATTTTTAAAACTCCTTTAAATCTATTTTTCCTTCCAAAATCAACTAATGGCATCATTATAATATATTTTGTTAGATTTCATCACATAGAAAAAACAATCCAAAAATTACCGGAGAAAATTTTATGCATTTAGAACGAGCATTTTAAAACTCAACATGAGCTTCTAATTTTCCTCTTCCAGTTTTTTTTTTTTCTCACCTTTAAGTTGCATTATTCTGATAACATCCAACACAAAACTTCTGCCCGATTTCTATTATCATAATTTAAAAGACTTATTTTGAGCATCTTGGAAGTCTCGAAATCGACGTTCCTTAAACGGAAACTTGTAGTTCTAAACAATTTTTCATCACCTTGGAAACACTTCAGAAAAAAACGCTTCTAGAAATAGCATACTTACCTGGCAGTAGAAGACAAAGGTGGAAACGATTCTAATTCACTGACCAGATCTTGATTTAAGCAGAATTCCAATTTCATCGTCGCGCTTTACAGCTGCACTTGTGTTGAAAGAATAACGTTTGACAAACATGTTCAAACATCTGAAACAATTAACAATTAGTACATTTAGAACATTAGTAAAAATAATTAATACAGAAAACAATTGGTAAAAATTAGCAAGAAAGCACAAGACAAAATTTAAATACTATTATCATTAACTAAGGAAAGTGAAAAAGTTATCTCGGAATTCGTGTAAATTGCTGGCTTTTATTCGCACTATTACATCCGCATAAATCACATTTCTTGTCAACTACTTCAGATCATAAATTGTCATTTAACAAATCTTGTACTGTAATTGATAATCTAAAGATAAAAAATTTATGTTTTTTTTTTTTTTTTTTTAAATCTGCCTGAAGAGTGAATCTTTTTTTAAACACTACCACAAGACGTTCTCACTTTAATCTTATCGAGGAGAAATGTTTGAGAAATAAACACTTACTTACCAGGAATCATTTTGGTCCATCATTTGGATAGAAATCGGTAAAATAATGCTTTCTTCTTTGTTATTCGTAACTGCTTCACATCTGAATTGATTTTCTCATTTGAATAATTGATCCGAATCAACAATATTTAATAGATATTTATTTTGCTTATTGCCAACTATAACTGATGATGGATATTGAAGGCATAGATGACAACTCACTGATCTATTAAAGAAATCAAAAGAACCTCCTGCATCTTATCATAGATTCTATAACAAATGCAAAATTTGCTGTAATTGGATTTCATTTATTTCTTTCCTGCTGATAATCAATATTGTGCTGTTCACGCAATATTTTGTCACATCCTTCTTGCATCATATTCAAAATGTTTGTAAGGAATTCTTGTGCATCCTGCAATTAAGAAAATTTCCCACAAAAATTTACATTTAATTGGTCGACAAACTCAAGCTGTACAAGATAAAAAATGTTGTCATGTAAAAAAACAATTCATTTCGTGCCTGCATATACATAACACTAGGAAATCTTCCCTTCTGTTTATAAGAATAAGTAGAAAAACCACCAAACAGTTATTAAAAATTTAAACAAAACGATTTGAAACTGAAAATAAAAATATCCAAATATAATCATTTCAAAATAATTTGTGCAAATTAAAGGATAACCTGTTGCTCACCATTCCAGAAATCTAAATTTGACATATCTTTGATCATTTCTAAAAAAGCCATCTTCAAACTGTTTGATGTACAGTGACGCTGGCTTGCAAGATTGGCAACTGCTCTGAACAATTTATTATACTCACGAGAACAGAAAAAAAGAAGATATTCCGTAAATTAGAATTTACGTGCTTTTTAACATTTGCTGCAGTAATGATGCAAAGACGTAAAAAAAGAAATTGTTATCAGTGCTTTTTGGATTGTTTACATTAATCCAAAAGAGAATCTTAATACCATATATATATATATGTTATATAGGAAATATTCGCTTCAGAAATTCAGTACAGAAGTATTGAATCTGAATATTTTGTTTACTCCGATTCGTCAAATCAAATGATCTTACAATGGAAACCGCTCTTTTGTTTCTTTTACGAAACAAAAAGTAAGAAATAAAGAGAAGAAAAAGAAATTAGAACAGTTAAAGCTATTTGCTAGCAAACTCTTTGTGACTGCAAGATTGTTATCAAAGACGAAAGCAATGCATACAAACAAGCATAACGGCATTTCTTCATCCAAATCCAAGCCAAGTTCTTCGACCATTTTACAAACTTTGAAAAGATCTTTTGCAAAAATAACATTTGAAAAGCATATAACACGTGCTACCAAAATTCGCGAATCTATAGCAAAACAAAAATATTCAACTGATGTTTTAAATTACCAGAAAATGATAAAAAAGAACACAAAAGCAGAAGAATAAAACTATCATTTACATATCCAGATGTCTCCACATTATCAGTTGTCAAAGCTTTAATGTGGTCATTGCCACGACGATCCTATAATAAAGCATTTACAAGAGATCAAAACACAAGTTATTCAATGATTGTCCCAAAATAACCTCAATAACGTATTCTTGAAATTTCACCTACATTGGTTTTAAGCATCAAATAGTCCATTTAGAAGTTTCAAAAAACAAAAAAGCAATGATGAAGGCATACTGCATTACAGATCATGGAAACATCACTAGAAAGTTTTCTTTCTCTTCAAACTTTGATATTTCTTCATAAGGGCTTACTAAATTTATTCCACGCGTCGTGGTGAAATTTGTTGATCTGGAAAGAATAAAAAATCAACGAATCTAAAATTAGATTAAAAAGGAAAAATTTATGCAGGAACGACTCACATACCGAATTAAAGGATTATCAACTTGCAAGGAACCACGTGTAATACCAATCAATGGATTAGATAACTTGGATCGCTTTGCTATAGATTCCAACACAGAATCTAATGTGAGTTGGTCAAAGATTTCCTTAACTAAACAAAGATTTACAAGTAATTAGCAGGTGTTGCACGATTCCATATGGATTTCAGTTTTCTTTTTTGGCAAATTTTAAGGTCTGAATGTAAATTATAAGCATGCTAAAGTAAAAACTTGATTTATTCATAAATAAAAGAATAATGTAGAAAACGAACTACTTTCAACATCTGCTGAGTCAGCTTCTTGTTGATTTCTAACGATACTGAAAATTTAGGAAAAAAAATATTTCACCCTTTTTTAATAAGAGCCGATTATCTGTTTATATAACTGTTTCCTACTTTAACTTATCTTCTTACAAAGTTTATTATCGTCGTTCACGTTATGCTATCAGTAGAACTGGTCGAATTGATTTTTACTGTTTTCCCTCTTCACTTTTCTTCTTAATCCTTGAATTGTCATTGAGTGTTGTAACTGTCGTTTTGATTGTACGTCGTCGTTTTACCAGAATATTGTTTTTATCGTTGTCTTTCTCCACCTGTTGAATTTCTCTTCGTCGAAATTCACGTAGTTTAATACTCAACTTGGGTCCAATCCCTCTTACTCATGCTCCTAACCGTTTTCCTCTAACACGACCTAAGCTCGCTCTAATACCACCATACCTCAACTCGTCGACCCAATGTAAATTCTGTAATGAGAAATTGCTCTGCTTATATCGCTGAGAATTCTTCTTTGTTAAGATCAAATATCCATTTTTTTTTTTTCTTTTTTTGTATGCTTATTATCCCATTACGCTTTTCCCATCGCTACGTTGTTTATTAGGTTGACTCCTTTGTTAGCTCCTTCCCTTTATCCTTTGTTAATAATAAGATCTTATATCCACTATATACAATCCCTCTTTTTATTTTTTAGTTACTGTAATAGTATGTTTGGCCTATTTGCCGACAGAAAACATGAAATCTTGAAACAAGTTTCAAATAATTGATTGTCATTATCTAGCATATGTTCTGCAAATGCATCCAGAAAAACAGCTATACATGGGATGCATTGAAGAGATTCACAACACTGTTTAATTAACATTACTGATAATAAACGAATATATTTGAAAAAGTATAATTCGATTAGCAGATTTTTTTACTAAAATCTAGAATAAATCACGAAAAGCATTATTGCACAAATTCGTCCCAAAAATCTCGACCACATTCCGGTAAGTTTTCTATCGAGAACTGATTGTCTGGTTAAAAAAATCATTCGGATAAATTTGTACAGGCAAATTATTAAATAAATTGTGTGTTAATCAGAAATATTTGAACGAAGTGAAAATAATCTGCAAACTATTGCCATATTATATCCCTGAATAATTTGGATATTTTTAACGCCCGGTATAAAGAAGATACACATATCATGTCCTACAATGTTAACAAATGAAAATTTTTGGAACAGAAATAGAAAAAAGGAACAGAAACTTTACCGAAGCATAATATAGTTTCTAATAGTTTATGCATTTTCATCATGCGTTCTGAATCTTAAAATTCAATGAAAAACGTTGTTTTATTGAGATCATTAACACAGGATATCATGCAATTCTCTGAAGGTGCCATGCAAGGGAAGTTTGAGATGGTTTTAAAAGATGTAACCTGCAATGTATGGGTACATTTGGTGAATCTATAGAATGAAATGAATTCCAGAATACTCTTAAAATCTTGGTAGTGTTGATTCTATTCGTAAGACTTACTAAGCGCCAACTGCAAAAACAATTTTTCGTCGCTTTTCATTCACTGTCTAAATACCTGTCCTTCGGAAGAGAAACGTGTCCGCCGACCCATAGAGTACCTCAAAATTCATATGCAATTAGCCAGCTTAAATAAAATCGGGATGAAAAATCATGAATACCGCTGATATTACTAATAAATCTATGCATAACAACTTGGTGAAAATTTGACCGCAACATTATTACAGTACAAGTATCATAACTCTTTTTATTATAGTGAAACTCAAAAGATAATAATGATTGCAATTGTTTCATGCTGTAACACTGCTGGAAAGTAAAGAAAGAACGTTAAAAAAAAAAAAAAGACAAAATTATCTAATTTAACATTCAAAAAAGGAATCAAGAAATTCGAAAAAAATACGATAAGATAACCTGAATTTTGAATTGACTAAGCTTCAAAATCATCATTCTTTTCATGATACATATCCTGAAAAACTTTGCTTTTCAATGATAATTTTTTATCATAAGCTAGCAAATAATTGTAAGTAAATCGAGGATGATAAAATAAGGTTTCCCAGCCAATTACCTCGTCAGAAAATCCTTTAGCGCCATTTGGCGTTATCTACTTAAATCTGGAGTAAGCAAGCTGAAAAGGTCAGGTTAATCATTCAAAGATAACATCAGTGATAGTAAAGTTACCGCAAGAACTTCCCTCACGAAACTGCCCCACCTCCTCGCCAACAAAACAGCAGCTGGTCTGCCAGTAGCCATTGTGAGGAAACGTTAATGTTGCTGCTGGCAACGGTTCAAATTTCGCGCTTTACCTAAAAATTCCGTGCCTTTTATGGGAGATTGCAGGACTAGATACAAACGGGCCTATTTTTCTAGCAGTCTTACGAGTCGCACGTCTCTTATCCCTAAATCCAGCGCAAAATGCTAGCGTTTCTTGAACTGTTGCTTCCCTCTCCCTACGGTAATTTGGTAACATTTGCGCTGCAATCATCCTAAATCTAGAATCCTGGGACGAATAATAGAGGTATGATTTTGTTTTCATAAGTAGATTAAGCTACTGTGCTACACTATTCTGGAAAGTTCCAAGACATTTCGGAAAATAGCGCTTGAAGAAGAAAAACACTTTGGAAAAAAGCGCCTGAAGAAAATAGACAGTTACCTAGACATATTTCACGCTTTTTCCTCTGACTTATAACTATGATAATGAAATTCTTTTAATGTACGCATTGTAAAAATATATCATCGACTCAGCTAAGTGGACGATTTGCTGAAGATAAGAAACGTATAAACGTCTCAGCAGATCATACAGTACAAGGTGAAGGTGATAAAAAAGTGCAATGGAGAAGGTAAAATTGTTCGATTATAATAAAAACTCAGATGATTAAAATGATAAATAATAGAGAGGAGATATTTAGAGAAAAATAAGTAATAAGGCAGGTTGAATTATAACGACCAGAACAAGATACTTAATAAGTGTTACTACTACACTCAAGGTGAAGTCGAAGGGCTACTATAGCTACTACAATTGGAATATACTTTTGTTGAATTATTTCAAACAATTTCTATGCTACAATTATATATCACCTTTTTTTCTTTCATTTACAGATTCAGCCAAATTATGTTATAGGCATGATTAATAACATAGCAATGATTTGGATGGAACGCTTGCTCAATCTTTGCGTACGCTAGAAACGGCAAAAACGAATGGAAACCAAATTTGTCAAATGTAAGACTTTCTCAAAAAGAGGTACAGCAAATAAAGTGGAGGATATTAATAGGCAGTGGATGCATTAGTATCCACAAGAATTAAAACAGAGATGCAATTACAGTAATGCGTAATTGCAACCGCTGCGTAAGAGTGGATGGCAATATGCGAAAGTGTATATTGGTCACCACAGTGGCACAGGAGTTAAAAAAAAAGTTGATAAAAGACAACATACAATAATTGGCCACAAGAATTAAAAGTTGGATGCAAACGTAGTAATGAATATATAAAGTATGTATCAATAAGGTTTAACGTTGAACTTTCTTTTACACCAATATTTAGAGGAAATTATCACTATTTGTTTCACGTGGAGGAACACGCAGACGAGAATTTATATTCGATATGTTCATATGTATGTCATCAAATCACTTAGAAGTTATCAGTTAAACCGTTTCGCTCAAATTACCCGCAAATATGCTGTGATCATTGCACTGTTTAATTTCAGCACTCTAATGTGGTTTCACTTTTTCTAAAATTATGTAGAGTTTGTTTTCAATTCTTGAATAATCAGATAGCATATGATAGACTGATATCTTGGTTAAAATGGAAGTGTAAAAAAGACCGTGTCAGCTTGTCGAAATTGATTTAAGAAAAAGAAATGAATTTTTTTTTTGCGTTTAAAAATTTCCAGGCAGCATTATTTTCAATTCTTCTCTTACAATAGTCACTTGAATTTTCTTACTACCACAGCCAATTCTGCTTATGTGTCTACTCAAAAGTGAATGTTTACGACAAAAAGATCATAGTATCTTCATTTCTTGCCTATCTTTTCGTATTTCCCATTTTTTAAATATTACTAGGTAGATAGGGAAAGAAATTAGAATATTTAAGTTGAGGACTTTCCAAGCAAAACAATAAGAATAATAAATAAATTTGTTGATTTAGTCGATTAAAATAGTTTACTTTATGTACTTCGGAATGCTGGAAATTTTTGATTGGAAAATGTGTTCCTCTTCATCAGTGATTACTTCTAATGAAAATTCTTTTAGAATTGGGAATAATTGCTTACTGATAGATGAATGAAACAGTCCATCTATTACGTGAAGTATCTTTATTAAATTTATACGAAGAAAATACTCTTCCAGCGGTGCTTTTTTTCTATCTTGTTTCATCATTTAACGCTAAATTTCGTTCGTAGATATATAAAAGCTGAAAATTTTCAACCGCATTTGAGAAATGTTTCACTTATTCAATGGTTGCATTATTTCAGTCATGATGAGAGGTACAGGAATGGTCCTCATTCAACACCTGTATGAAATAAGTGTAAGCATCGTTAATTTTTCATATCAGTGTGCATTTTTGAGGCAAATTTTGCTTTCATTTCAATGACTGCTTCTCATTCATTTTGTTCCAACTAAATTTTTTTAGCATGATGTGACATCGAAAGTAACATCAAAACAGTGTTTCATCCTTTCCCTCAAATGGATAGATATGCTAAAAATTTGCAAAGTGCGCAAAGAAGACAGAAAGTTTATTTCTTTTAATTAGGAAAATTGAGATTGTTGCCTAAGACTATCCGATTTGATAAGTGGTTTCAAAATTCTCTCTGAAGAGGAAGAGAAGCACTGTGATGAGTTTTGGACGAATTTGCTTATTGATGTAGTGTAATTATTAATGTTCCAATTGTGCCTTATTGGAATATGTTTCTTGTTTTTATCGAATTTTCCACATTACTTCAGCGTGTTTTGTCAGTCATATGTTTTGATCGATGAGGAACTTTTGCAAACATTACAGATGATCTCAAAAGTTTGATCATAAATTTTAATACAAGAAATAATTTGTTAATCCTTTCAAATATCTCAAAAGACAAAAACGCTTCTTATCATGTTACAAGCGTAGCTTCATGCTTGCTAATTTATCGGGTCCAATATATTAAGCCATCTCATTCATTTGTCTAATTTCATTTCATATTATTAATGACGTAATAAAGCACTGCATAACGAAATAATATAATTCCATGTATAAGGTACCGTATCCGAGAAAGAAAAACCATTCACTTATCCATCCGATCGCTTATGTCAACAGCAATAAAAACATCGAAAGATGACACACCTCCACGACTTCGCTTTCTTGTGCAAGTCACACAGGCGGAAGGTTTCTGCGTAGTGTGCTACCATTTCAAGCTTATCGCAACTTTCAGATTAAGGAGTAGAAATGTCCGGGTATATCCCAACGCCTGAATCAATAAGTGTGCGAGAAATATTATTGCAAACAGTAAACTTTTTACTATACCTTACATAAAAGAATGCACATACAAATGTAAAGCATATTGGTGGCTCTAAAGAAGTAGGCTTAAAGTAACATTAAAATTACATTACTTAGGATCATCAGTTTGCTTCGAGGTTGATTCCTGATTTGACGGTTTCGGAAGTAGCGCCAAGTAAACATTCGGTAACACACCACCTTGAGCGCTTATTACATCGGAGAGAAGTATGTTCAATTCATTCTCATTCCGTATGGCCAACTGTAGATGCCGCGCGGGCTGATCTGTCTCATTTCATTTTCATGTGCCTCATATCCACTAGTTGCAAAAGTTCGGCAGTTAGATATTTAATCACTGCTGCAAGGTACACCGGAGCAGTGGCACCAATTCGACCAAAATAATTATCATTGCGAAGCGAATGATGGAAAAATTCAATCCAATCCTGGTGGATATGGATTCACTCCTCTTACATCGCTTTTTCTTTCTCGTGGACATGAAATGCAATAGACTGACCTTAAAAAATAAAAGTATGACCGGAAATAGTTCACAAATATGTTTTCTGCGGTATTTAAGGTTTAATGATGGCACCAGCTAGTATTCCATTCTATACAAATAACCTTTCGTCTCCCGGATGCCCTTCTTTTCATACGTGACATAATGAAAAACAGAGCGCGCCACTCATAAAAATCAGCCATAGTACTCGAATTCAATTCCGTTCGTCGCCTCTTCTTGTTATGTACGTGAGAATACTGAGTAAAAGTCCTTTGTTTAGAAGAAGCATACTATCACTCTTTTATATAAAGAAGTACCAAAGATTTCTCAAGCGTGTATATCCTCACGACTCCACTGTATGCATTCCAGTTACTCTCAACAGAGGAACGGTTCATCCGATAGTAAAAAAAAAAAAAATGCACTCCAATGTCGTATTCTCACTTGCTTTTAAAAATTCAAAAACTAATCCAACCTCTCTTAACAGCTACAGTGCCGCAAAGTATTTCAAGGGAAGGTACAGTAAGAGTATTCCTGGGTGATTAAATGGACTTTGTGGTCCATATAAGCTGATTCGTTGCTAACCTCAGTTCCCAAAAATAAACGCTTGATTAAATTAAATATTATATGTGTATTAACAGCAGCCCTTCTATGTTTACATATGATTTGAATTTCTCTGGTCTACTAGTTTCAGATCAGTTACCACTAATGATAGTCTCACTGCAACGCTAGACATGCTTCAACTGTTACCTACCCTCCTAAGCTGAACTCAGACAGGGAAGATTAGACCATAATTCAAGAACATCCAACTCTATTTACAAACTCGTTCGAATGCACCAACAAACTTGCAAATACTCTACCCTTATATTTTACTAATTGCAATTGCACTGTTGGACAGATTACAGATTTTGATTTTACATAAAACACAAGAAACTGCGGAACAATTAGATCATTAGTGACATGAGCATAACCCATTAATTTGTGGCCCTAAAGAGGGCCGTTGGGTTTTAAAGGGAAGAAGTGGAAAGCGCGAGTCTACCCTACTACGAACTCATGTACTTGGTGACAGCTTTAGTGCCCTCGGACACGGCATGCTTCGCCAATTCTCCCGGAAGAATCAAACGAACTGCTGTCTGGATTTCTCGAGCTGATATCGTCGTCCGTTTGCTATAATGCGCCAAACGGCTCGCTTCCATTGCAACTCGATCGAAAACATCATTAACGAAAGAGTTCATAATCAACATCGCCTTCGAAGAAATCCCGGTATCCGGATGGACTTGCTTAAGGACACGATAGATGTACACTGAGTAGGATTCCTTCCGGTAACTTCGCCGTTTCTTCTTTTCTTCCCGCGGCTCACGCGATTCTCGTGACACCAAAGGCTTCTTCTCCCCAGTTTCCTTCTTCTGCTTCTTCTGCTTCTTCGATGAACTTCTTACCATCCCAGAAATGGCTATACCAAACTGAACAGTGGAAGTGAACACAACCAAAATGATACAACAATATCTCAGGCAGCCTATTTATACTTTTTGGAAACGTAGGCCACGCCCCTCATCTCCCGCCATAATTCGAACGGAATGTCCTACCGAAAGGCGGGGCCTACCGTATCTTTGTTCGATATACTCATCCCAAATGAAATTGCTGAATTGCACGTAGCATTTAGTATTAGTAATATCAGCGGTATTCATTTTTATGAGTGGCGCGCTCTGTTTTTCATTATGTCACGTATGAAAAGAAGGGCATCCGGGAGACGAAAGGTTATTTGTATAGAATGGAATACTAGCTGGTGCCATCATTAAACCTTAAATACCGCAGAAAACATATTTGTGAACTATTTCCGGTCATACTTTTACTTTTTAAGGTCAGTCTATTGCATTTCATGTCCACGAGAAAGAAAAAGCGATGTAAGAGGAGTGAATCCATATCCACCAGGATTGGATTGAATTTTTCCATCATTCGCTTCGCAATGATAATTATTTTGGTCGAATTGGTGCCACTGCTCCGGTGTACCTTGCAGCAGTGATTAAATATCTAACTGCCGAACTTTTGCAACTAGTGGATATGAGGCACATGAAAATGAAATGAGACAGATCAGCCCGCGCGGCATCTACAGTTGGCCATACGGAATGAGAATGAATTGAACATACTTCTCTCCGATGTAATAAGCGCTCAAGGTGGTGTGTTACCGAATGTTTACTTGGCGCTACTTCCGAAACCGTCAAATCAGGAATCAACCTCGAAGCAAACTGATGATCCTAAGTAATGTAATTTTAATGTTACTTTAAGCCTACTTCTTTAGAGCCACCAATATGCTTTACATTTGTATGTGCATTCTTTTATGTAAGGTATAGTAAAAAGTTTACTGTTTGCAATAATATTTCTCGCACACTTATTGATTCAGGCGTTGGGATATACCCGGACATTTCTACTCCTTAATCTGAAAGTTGCGATAAGCTTGAAATGGTAGCACACTACGCAGAAACCTTCCGCCTGTGTGACTTGCACAAGAAAGCGAAATCGTGGAGGTGTGTCATCTTTCGATGTTTTTATTGCTGTTGACATAAGCGATCGGATGGATAAGTGAATGGTTTTTCTTTCTCGGATACGGTACCTTATACATGGAATTATATTATTTCGTTATGCAGTGCTTTATTACGTCATTAATAATATGAAATGAAATTAGACAAATGAATGAGATGGCTTAATATATTGGACCCGATAAATTAGCAAGCATGAAGCTACGCTTGTAACATGATAAGAAGCGTTTTTGTCTTTTGAGATATTTGAAAGGATTAACAAATTATTTCTTGTATTAAAATTTATGATCAAACTTTTGAGATCATCTGTAATGTTTGCAAAAGTTCCTCATCGATCAAAACATATGACTGACAAAACACGCTGAAGTAATGTGGAAAATTCGATAAAAACAAGAAACATATTCCAATAAGGCACAATTGGAACATTAGTAATTACACTACATCAATAAGCAAATTCGTCCAAAACTCATCACAGTGCTTCTCTTCCTCTTCAGAGAGAATTTTGAAACCACTTATCAAATCGGATAGTCTTAGGCAACAATCTCAATTTTCCTAATTAAAAGAAATAAACTTTCTGTCTTCTTTGCGCACTTTGCAAATTTTTAGCATATCTATCCATTTGAGGAAAAGGATGAAACACTGTTTTGATGTTACTTTCGATGTCACATCATGCTAAAAAAATTTAGTTGGAACAAAATGAATGAGAAGCAGTCATTGAAATGAAAGCAAAATTTGCCTCAAAAATGCACACTGATATGAAAAATTAACGATGCTTACACTTATTTCATACAGGTGTTGAATGAGGACCATTCCTGTACCTCTCATCATGACTGAAATAATGCAACCATTGAATGAGTGAAACATTTCTCAAATGCGGTTGAAAATTTTCAGCTTTTATATATCTACGAACGAAATTTAGCGTTATATGACGTTGTCTCTGTTTGCCTGCAACATACCTCCTTTCTATATCAAATCGAAATGTTTGCCAAAAAGTTTAGGACAGAAAATTCCCTGATTTTGATCTAACATTGCATAATATGAATATATATAACTGACAAGCTTTATAATAAGAAAATATCGAATAATTGGAAATACCTAATATTTCTCTTCATTCTAAGAAACTAAATTTGCGAATTACGGCAGGTACGATATAAAGTGCAAGATTTGACGGGACGACAACTTTGCATGCAGTGAATTTAGCTTGGTTGGTGTTAACAGTAGTATAATGATTGGAAACGGTGGTTCAGTTTTTTACTTTCCTAAATTTTGATCTCATTCATCCACAAACGATCGCTTCTATGAAGACTTAATTTAAACGAATGATATTGATCATAAGATTCTAATCGATAATATCATACAAGAAAAATGGAGAAAACCAGTAAACGTATTTAAAAGAAATTAAGCAATGTGAAACAAGTTATCGAAGTATGCAAATTTCAGTCAGACGAATTTCAATCAATGTCATTATCAACCATAGAGATATACTTATCGAAATCAGCGGAAGGCAGGATGTCTCTCTTCCTTGGATTTTGTGAATTCCGCACTCACTCTCATCCAGAAAGAGAGAAAAAAGCAAAAAGTCGGAAGACTATTCACACAGAACAGATGACACCTTCACTAAAACTGTAAATACTGTAGAATTTATAAATAACCAATTACAAGTTAAATTCATCATTGTTTCAAACACCACGCTACTTCCGAAGCTATCAGCTAAGGAGAAATCAATTGCGAAACATAGTGATCAATAATACATTTATACAATGTAATTAATGTTTTATATGATGTTGAGTAAAAACTTGATTATTGAAACGACTGAAACTGGCAATAAAGTAGACTTGAACTATTTGGAAGAATGTGAAAGTCAATCGGTAAGTGCTTAACTTTATTTGGTCCATTTATTTCTCAGTTTTTTTCCAAAATTTTTTTCTTTTTTAAATGCTAAAAAAATGACAAATACTTAACTTCACATAACCCATAACTCATTTAGCGACATCTTTCTTAAATAACCCAAAAAATTAAGACTGTTTAAATTGATATAACTCTAATTAGCTGAGATGTTCTGAAGCTAAGATATTAAGATGCTTAAACCGACCAATCTCAGACAGATTAACCTCTCGTAATGAAGTCATCGTGGATAACTGGCTAGAATCGAACGTTTGTTTTGATGCAGTTGGGTTGATTGTTGTTGCTCGGAGATATACATATCGAATCAATTTAACAACTCGCCGATATCTTCTTCATTCGTAATGCTTCATTTCTTACCAACTTACATTCAGCTTGCTTAATACGATCAGTTGCATAAACAATTTTAATAAGCTTCTTTCCGATTGAAATGTTTATATGTCAGCATTTTATTCGCCCATTTTTTTTCTAAACACTCCGATGGTCAACGAATGAGGAAATAATTTTTTTTTTTTTTTTTTTTTTTTTACGCAATCTTTGATTGGACAATTTAAGGAATAATTTTTAAACAAATTTAATTTGAAATAATTTCGAAAATTCGAAAAATTTAGCTTTCATTTCAAACATACGTTAAAGCACATGTTGCACTTGCTGCACACACGTACATTCCAACAGGAAAAGACAACATTCCTAAACGACTCCTTTAAGTACATAAAAATAGATATGCTAAGTAAAATCATTCAGGCATCCTAAACCCGATTAACTTGCATTGAACCTAAATTATTTCAAATGCCAAATTCAGTTTTAAAATAGGCAATTCTAGAGATTTCGCCATTTTTTGGTGGGTATAATAGAAACATGAAATAAGAAAATAGAGGTTTGTTAAATAATGCAATATGATCTGTAGTGGCTGTCTAAAATCAACTTGTTTTACCTAAGTAATTAACTCACTTTGTTCCATCTCGAAGTAATTTAATGATTAAGTGACCCATTAGCACCCAACATTTCTAATTAAATGAAAGTTATACTCATTTTTTGTGTACCGACGAGATCTAACTTTGATTTATTTGCAGTAATCAACTTTGTTTTCCCGTGCTAGGTGTTCAAATTAGATGTGATAATGCTAGGCTGTAGCAAAAGGGGTAAAAGATTCCCGAAAAAATAGCGGTAAGCGTCAACACAGAATATTCCGCGGCAGAATTCGTAGGAACATCAAACAAATTGGAATTTAACGGCTTGCATTAGAATGCACAGGTCGATCAATGAGATTTCTTCACTAATTCCTCGTGTCTCCCTTACCTTCCTATTGTAAGTACTCACTCTCTGTTCTGTGTGGTTTGAACGCAAAATATCTGAAAGTAGGTACGTACGACTACTCAGTTCATACTTCAGCTCATGAACTTAATGTCAAATGCTGTAGTCTACCGCTGAAATGCCAAGGTGAACTGTTGACAAGTGACAGAATTCGATCAGCGTACGATCGAATTTTCTGCGCCAGACAAAATTTTCCGTCCTTGGAAGTTCGAAGATTTTTGCAGTAATCTGGAAGCAACCTGACAGTGTTTCTTGGAGTTGTAGGGTCGGTCATTTCCGGAAGTTCCAGTACCGGGGTTTCATGTGGTATGGTGATATGTTTCGACCTTGGGACAAAATAATCGTTACCTGAAAGTTAAAAGGGGAGAAACGCGAGAAATTAACGAGCACATGTGATGTTAGTAAAGAAAATGTTAGATTATTTGGAAGATTTACGTCTGGGATACGTCACCGGTTAAATACTAATAACATTCCTTATGGAACAATCTGTCAATAGATGAATGGGTAAAAAAATGAAAATGATCCATTAGCAGTCCGAAATATTTTAGTTTCCTCTTAAGATCGGCTTCTAAGAGACGTTTTTATACTGCATTTGAAGCATGAATCTAAGCATTGATTACCATTAACTGCTGATATGATAAGTAGTAATGATTGATGCAATGTTTGCTAGAAAATTTTTGGACTTGTTTTATTAAGGCTTTATTCGATACAGTCGCCAGTTGTTCCAAAAAGTTTTTTATCGATCAGTTTTTATGGACCAAGAAACCGGGCAAGAATATTTTCCGGTTTGATGGTGGAGTGTGGCGTTCTGCATGGGTCAAATAGCGTCCATTCGACGAAGAGCAAGTGTCCCGAATGTAACAAATGGGACAGGTAACGATGATGAGAACTGTGAAATGCATCGCTTCTCTAGTCATCCAGGTAAAAAGAACGTTTTCTGGTCCCGGATAATACCACAATTTTTTAGGTGGATAAATGCTATCTTCCGATGAAGTCAAATAATTTTTTTTTTTTCAAGTTAATAGCATGTTGCTTAATTTGATCATTTTATTTTTAGAATTATTTAACTATTTGTTGCATGGTAAGGAAGTTTATTCGCTCTAATCGGGATTGTTTGAATTCAGTCTGCAGGATGTACTTTCCTCTTCTATTGCAATTCTGCCTGAAGAATTAGAGCCATGTTTTTTCTATCCATTTATAAATACATATTCTATGAATGCTTGTATATTGCAAGATTTAAAACTTTAAAAAATTCAAAAAGTGAAACTATCTTTCAGGAGCTTTTTTTGGTTCGTACTTCTTATTGGGCGGTGAACGATATGATTTGGCAAAGCCGGAAGCCTTTTTATTTGGCGAGAATGCAGATTTAGATATACTTGGTAACAAATCAGTGCAGGTACATACATAATACGTATCTGAACGCGTCTAAAACTTCTCTCCAAATTTTTATTAAAATGCTCTGTTGTCTTTTATATTTGTTTCTGTCCCTAAGAGTACAGTGTAAGCTTATTTTGTCGTTTAGTTTCCATACTCGAGTCAACCAGTGAATGATCCAGTGAGGACTTTGAATGCTTTAATCAATCTTCGTCGAGATTCGTTAAAACTTACAAAGTAAGTGAATCAGAGTGCGTTGTAGTTTAAGTGGAAGAGGCAGCGTTTAACATCCTTGTTTGAAAGATTTTTGCTCACTAACACGTTTACGTGCTCATATGCGATGTGAAAAAAAGGGAAATAATTTATAAAGATTTAGCAGATAAATGAATACTGGTAACTGTATCTTTCAGTTATTTATTACAGTAACTGAAAATCTTTATCAATTTTTCAACTTATCCGGGAATTTGAGAAATATCAGTACCTTTGAAATTTATTCTTTTTTTTTTTTTTTAGAAGGAAGAACAATGCATCAGAGAATAACAAGAATTCGTTCTGCTTAGAATTCTATTTCGACTGTGACAGTGCATGTTACGTACAAATTCACTTTTTTGCGAAGGAAGTTGTTAGCGATGGACATATACAGTATGTGTTTCTTAAAACATTAAAGTTTTGCTACATTTTGAGACCAGTTACTTTTCAAAATGCCATGTTGAACATTGACTATTAAATTCCCTAGAAGTGATACCTCGAAATGTTTCCAAGCCCATCTCTGTGAGTACGAAAAGGCTTTACTATCTGTGAATCATGTAGGACAGCCTACTGAAATATTACCACAGACTACATTATTTTCATATAATTATATTTGTTGAAATCACTAAGTCATTCAAAATATCAGACGGTGTGTTAGTCCTTTTTTTTTTTTTTTAATCAGCAAGTTAAATTAGAGTTCTCGCTATTAATTTCTGATGCGTTTGTTTGCAGATTTATGCACAAGTATCCGCAGCTGAAGTCATCTGAACAGTATTATTTTGATGTTGGTGCGGAGCAACATTTCAATAAATTCATTATGGATGCTAGTGTATATGACCTTAGTTCTGTACGTCTCAATATTATTATGGGTCTGGGAGCTGTGAACTCTTTTCTGATGGAAACTACAACTAATATCCACAATTTTTCTAAATATGCATCCGCTTTTTTCTGATAGAACATCAACAAGTTGAAATTGGATATAGTTACATCATGAGAATTTTCAGTTTTTTAGATGCATTATGATAGCGGTTCCTATTTCCCAGTTGTTATTGAGATTCGTGCTGTTGATTGTGGTATTGAACAGATGCAGTCAACAATGGCTAGCATCGAACATGCAACCGATCAGTGTGCAACTTTTGTTGTAAAAGCACTCAAACAAAAATTAGTGGGTGTTTGTTTCAAATTTTTCTTTTAGATAATCGCTACAATCTTTGGATGGGCATCAGTTCCTTATAGTGTCAATTTCTTATTTCCATATTAAAATTCTGAAACAAGAATTTTTAGGTAGCTGATGGTGTAGTATATTTGTTGCAAGAAATTTACGGAATTGAGAATAAGGAACATGACCTTGGTGATGAAAATGGATCCGAATGCATCATTTGTATGTCTGATATCCGCGATACTGTCATTCTTCCATGCAGGCATTTATGTATTTGTAATGGATGCGCGGAAACATTGAGGTATAAGGTCAGTTTTTTTCTTTTTTTCCAGTTTTCTATTCTTTTACAAATGTTTTCATCTTCTCTAAGGAAAAACTTTGCTTTAAAAATTTTTTGTCCAGTTTTGTTACTCAAAGTTTTTTTCCTTCGTGTTCGAATCTGAAATTTGTTTTTATTATTGCTTGTCAAGAAAATTTTCTGTGGGACTTATTTCCATCTTTAGGAATTTTTTATTGGTGATTCTAACTCATTAAATTTATTGTATTAACTTTCAGTTGAATAACTGCCCCATTTGTCGTTCTCCATTCCGTGCACTACTGCAGCTGAAGACGATGCGTGTTGTTAGTACGGTTTCAATAACTGATCAGTCACCATCTTCGCAACAAACTCGTTCACAAACTAGGTGCTTTTATTTAGCCTTTTTTTAGATACATCTTATAGAATCTTTTCATATGTTTTATATGCATCTATTGTCACTTTAAGAAATTTCCCATTTCCGTTTTTTAAAAAATAATTTTACTGCACGTCTTTGTTGAAGATTGTGACTTAGAAACTGTGTCTTCCCCTTGAAATCTTTTTAGGTTAACAGGAGACATTTTTCCCTGGCTTGAATGTTAATCTAATGTCTTTTAAGGTATGAGACAATGACCTTAGTAGAAGCACTAAATGGACCGATTAGTCACATACAGTCTTGCTTGGTACCAACTGCTCCACTTGGCCACAACATTGATTCTCCTCATGAAGTTTCTACATCTCTTAATTCAAAAGTTGCAAGACGGTCTTCGCGATCATCGGTCGCTATACAGCAGGTTACGGTTTTTTTTACGGTCCTTGAAGAATTTTACCATCCACCTTAAAAGAGGATTACATGCTTACGATTAGTGCACGATCAAAAAGGGAAAACTTAAAAAGGGCATTACTTTTTGGTAAACGGGCGCTGCAGACAATTAATTTCACTACATTTAAAAGTGTGATAGGGATGCCTGAGTTATTGGAAAGACATTCTAAATCTTGTACCGTTACCACTTTAATATGAAACTTTTTTCCACTATAGGTACTCACGTTGAATCAAGGCCGGAACAAGAAAGATAACACCGTTTGCATAGAAATGAAATCAGCGAATGAATTCAAGAATGTAAGCTAACTAATTTTCAAATGGTCTTCAAGTAATGTTTCCTTAAGAGTTCCCATCCTTCAGTGAAGATCTGTAAGTATGCTCTGTGATCTACTTACAAGTGATCCAAGCTAAAGCAATGGAACACAGAGCATTATGAGCATGCTTTCACTTTATGTTGGAATGTTCCGAAACTTCAGGAAGAGATGCCAAATAACTGTTCAACAAGTCGTTATCTTGACTCCCCATCCGACACTCCGTATTCATCGGTTTCCTCACATGGTCGACGTTACAAGAAACAGCAGACTATGTCGCCACTGTATAACCGAAAAGGGTCTATTAAAAATGTTGCTGTTCAAGAAAATCCACCAAATGAACTTGCCCAAAATTCCGACAATATTACTACAGCAAAGAATTCATAATTCTAATCTTAAACGTTAAAATTCACTAATCCCGTCACACATTTATTATGTTTTTCCTATATGTGGCTTCCTGTGTTGCTATATTACTGCTAAATGATAAATGCCATTTCGTCTTTTCTTTTTCTTCCCTTTTCTCATCTCAACAATGTTCTTTCTCAGAAAACAATTTGAAGGTCCTACCAAGTGATGCATTTATGTAAATGGTCGAAATTGCACTCATACTGGTTTTGTATTCTCATCTCGTCGCGCTCTTTTTTTCCATTTCTCTACTTTTGTGATATGTCGCAATCGATAAAAGGTGCATTACTTTGAAATTTTTATCACTCAGAATCTTATGGATTAAATGAGTTTTTTTTTTTTTTTTTTTCGCATTCCCTGGATTACTAAAATCCACATCATATCCGTTTCCAGTAAGAAAAATATATATCATAAACATGGAAATATGCACCACTACCATAATTTCAGTTGCAGTTAGCTCAGGTTGGAAATCCAAACGTAAACGAGAAAAACAATGCGGAACAACTAATGATATTTGACATTTCTAGCTCTCAAACTTCAAGACATATTCTGACCGGATATCAGCTTCGATTTCCGTAACAGTTATTTTTGGTTTTTTTTTGAATACTTCCTACTGATTGCCAGACACCTCGCAAATTCCTCTTGTTTGATAATCCTGCCGTGACGTTGCATATATTCGATAAGCGACCGCAGATGCTTAGCATACTTCATCATTATTGCACTACCCACCAAAACGAACTGTCGGCGGGCTCTTGTCACGGCAACATTGAAGCGTCGTTCATCTTTCAGAAATCCAATTCGACCTAGAAAAAGGTTTCGAGATTTTACTGGAGGAAAGTTGGTAATCTTTTTTTGCTTGCTAAGAATAAAATTTAAATACACTGAGAATGAGATTTGGATTTCTTACTCAAAATAAATTTTAACTTTATTCAAGCATGAAATGCATATAAAAAACAATACCATCACCATTATTCCTGACCAATGACATAACGATTACTTCACACTCTTGACCTTGAAAGGCATCCACGCTATTTACCCTACTAGTTTTTAATGATTTCTTCAACATATCGACCTGAAAATGGATTTTTATTGAAATCAGATATCAAGAATAGATCCTATTAAATAACCTTATTCCTAGGAAGAAAATCTAAATTAAATGAGTCGTTCAGAACGAAATAAGTTTATATGTAATATCATAAAAATTAAGAACGTTATATAAACGTCCAAAAATATATTCATTCTGACCTGTGCAACATACGGTGCTATGATACCAATGTCTTTCTCTTGTACACCAAACATGCTCAGTGCAGTAACATATTTAATAATCAATTTCGCTTCTACTGCAAATGAATTGCATTTAAAATATCCAGAAACATATAATGTTCTATAGATATCAAAATGATGCGAAGACAATCAATTTCTATAATCCAAAAATGACTTTAAAAACAAATTTCTATGAAAATTTACGCGCATTTGCGTACGAATGTCGATACAGTTTTTCGCTACTCTCTGCTGATTTATCATGGCTTGTGTCAATGAATATCATCGGTTCATCAAATAAACTTCCTTTAGGCACTTTGCTTATATCACTGAAACATATTATAGAACAAAAATTTTGAAGGTATTATCAACAATCACAGGAATTTTGTAGCTCAAAGGTTACTTATTAGACCAATTCGTCTTTATGTAACTTATCTATAAACAAATAAGTTTTTCAGAAATATAAGGAGCAAATAATCAAATTAATGTACCTCAAAAGTTGGTCAGCAATATGTTCATTTGGGCGTAACTGTGACTGATAAAAAAATGAAGAAGGCCATCTGTAAGAGGAGATTTCTTATTTAAGCATTTAGCGAAGAGAAATTTATCAAAAATCAAAAGTAACCTTTTTCTCCAAGAAATATGCAACTAACTCCATAATTTTTCTATTCATACGATACTGCTCTGTCAACATGAACGAATTAGCTTCACCAAATCTCTTGGATAAAGTATCCATTAATGAATTACTGATATCGTCCATTCCCAATAATCTTGAAATACATAATTCGAAAAACTAAAACTTACCCTTAAATAAGACAGTGATAAAAAAATAAGAAAAATTATGGAAAAACCAAACTAAGTTATGTTCCTAGCAAACATTGATAATTTAAGTGAGATACATTCCACAAGATTCCGGACCAAGCTATGTCTTGACGACTTTATAATAAGCAACACGATGAACGACTCACTTAATAAATTTCTGAATTGAGTTAAAAGAAACTTCATGATTTCCTGAAAGTATTTCATTCGACAAAGTAAAACCAAACTGTACCGTGAAGTTTTCAAAACCGGTGGTAACTGCCATGGGTCACCAACAATTACAGCTCTTGGAGATAAAAGTAATGAGTACCATGCAACACACTCCAAAGCTTGTGCAGCTTCATCTATTACTGTTAAAGTGGGTTGAAAACCATGTTCACGAAGAAACCGCAGTGAGTTGTTTGTTAGAGTACATACAATCACTTGTTTAGAACTTACAATGGTCTGTAAAATTCAGCTATCAATCCAAAGAAATGTCAAAATTACATTTAAAATATTGCATCAAGGAAAAATTCATTTTCCTTCCACTTTTTGCTCACTAAAAAAACTAAGACTTATACTTTTGAATTTTTGAAAATTTGTGAAGCATCCCAAATTATACAAGTTATAAGAGGAACACAAACCAAAATTTTTACCTCTTTCAAGTGCCACAACATCTTACTGGCATCGTGCCAAACTTTTTTATGTTCATCACAATTATTCCCATATATTCCATTACTTTCCCCTGAATCCTGCAATTTAACATTAATCCCTTAAAATCCAATATTTCAAAAAGAGAAGACTAAAAAAGGACAAAAACTGAAGTTTAATATCTGAAATTACCATAGCATAAATTTCGTCCTTTAGGTTATATCTTAAAAAATATTCGAGAGCTTTCTTTCCAACTTATTTCCTCGACTACAACCGCAATGAGTTATTTGTTAGAGCATTACGCTTACAAAAGTTATCGAACCAATTTTTTGAAGGCACACTGAATATCAACGAATCTGTCATGTTGCTCTAATTCAGCGGCCAATGATAGCTCTGAATTAAATCCCAGTGCACATATTCCAGCTAAATCCTTTAGTCTATCAACTATATTGTTTACTGCAATGTTTGAGGGAGCACAAATAAGCACCTGTAAATTGAAGCATGATTTTGGTGAATTTTATCATTATACTAAGAAATGTCGTAATAATAATAATGTAAAGGAAAGCTAAACTAATCTCACAAGGATGAAAGACTTTCACGAATGAAGCGCAAAACTAAATTCACTGCACTTTTCTCAATTACACAGAGGTCGACAAAATGGAAGATAATTTTACGACTTAAAATGAGAGAGTCTAGCAAGCATAAGTCCACTCATAAAACTATGACTGTTCCAAAACCCTAAGTAGATGAAAAATATAATTTTTTTATTTAGATGTTATTCGTTTTGTTTAAATTTTTTTTTTTTTTTTGGTTAATTTTTTAATTAATTTATTATTTTTATTTTAGTAATTTTTTTATTTTATATTTTTGCTTTTAATTTTATTTTTGAACTAGATTTGTTGTTAAATGTTTATTAAAAACTTGAGTTTTTTTTTTTTTAAAGATGTTTTTTGCTCTACTATTTTTTTTTTTTTTTTTTTTTTAAAAAAAACACGCCCATCATTTCAGCTTTTGACCCCATAAAAAGCTACGAACTAAATCATAGCCTCACAGAAGACGAAGCAGAAAAAAAGTGCTGAGTTTAGAAATGAGAGTTGTTTCGAAATCAGTTTAAAGCAAAAAGATAAGCACACAGCTGAAATAACTATTTTCTTTCGAAGTGAGATTTTAAGACAAAAATCATTATTAAAAGATACCTTCTGCTTCCTACTAACGGCTTCTAACACAATCTCCGCAATAACAGCTGTTTTCCCAGTACCAGGTGGGCCATGAATAGTTACAATCGGTCGACTTTTGTTTAATGCAGCAAACACAGCACGTCTTTGGTCCTCATTGAGTCTAACTGATTTTTTTGATACTTCGTCCAAAAAGATATTATTAACACTATTATCTTATAATGGCGAATCAAAAAAGAAAATCCCTTTTTCAATATGAGTGCTACCATCTTTTGACATAACAGCTGAATCTTTGAAACTAAAAAAAGCAGTACATTTCTTGAAACAAAAGTTTTATCTAATGTATGCCCTTCCTCTCTAGTACAGCGTGTTTGCAACGATCAATCATCAGCAAAATGCTACTTCATATTTTTATATCTATGCTATAAATGGATTTTTTTGAATGATGAACTGAATTACCTGGTCGTGATGTTGGTAATGGTACACTACAATGAACATAATGAATCAACTTTTCACCAGGGAAATCTCTCCATCTTAATTCCTGAATATGGAAATTTTTCATAAGCAGCAATTACCATCTATAATATTTTATATTTGATGAAGGCACGAAATTTTGCTCTGTAATAAATTACACATTCATCAAAGTACTTTTTCTTTAAACCATTATTAACGGAAAAGGTAATTAGCAATTATCACACTATGTGGACGCATAAAGAAATATAAGAAAACTCATGAAAGAGGAAAGTTGGGAAAATCTCTCAGCAAATAAATTAATGCGACCAGTTTTCTAAATAACAAAATGCTTAATACATTAGCCTAATCTATTCCACAAATCAAAAACTTACCAGAAACTCATCTAAAGCTATCAGATATCCGAGTCCGACAGATGGTATTAAAACAAATTCATCAGAAAAATCAATATTCACTTCCTTTTTTGCTTTTGTTTTCAGACTCACTTGATTTCCAGAGCATGAAATTATAATACAGTTGCTAATGATTGTAAGCTCTGGAATTCGACATAGCAGCACAGGTGTACCTACAAATAAAATTTGAATATTTTCCAAAAATTTCCAAGCCACCACTTTTAAAGTAATCCTACTTAACTTCACAATAGCTAGGGATAGTAAAATCTGGAAACAAAAAAAGAAACCTGAACGGAAACTTCTTTTTGTGATCTTCTGCTCTGACCCTTTTATTTGGTGTAAGACGATGACGCGTCCGTGCAACGCATGTAAATATTGTGTTTGGAAACGAAGTGCTCCCGAAATTTGACCAAGTTTTTCCAATTCGTCAACCGACGGATTCAGCAGAAGATCCCTATAAATTGGAAATTCCAAAACAGCCTGAATGCGATATTCATAAAACAGCTATCTATCAGTAAGAATCGGGAGAAAAAAAAGATGAGATGTAAATGGAATATACCGGATTTCCTTGACACCATGAGCAACTTCATTTTTTAGTAATTCCTTCCATCGATTGACTTTCTCATAAAAGTCTGAATGTAAAGCGAAATTTTTCATATGCTTCCGTGGCTTTTTGCTATATCTAGTATTGCTGAAAAAAAAAGTCAGATGTCAGATATGAATTTTTGGATGTTTGTATTTTTTCAAAAACTTTAAAAACTTCATAGGAATAAGAAAATATCAAGGTAAATAATTTTTTCCATATTGGTGAAACATCAATACCATGCACTTTTTCTCCTTATACAATCATGATCAAGAGAGGAGCAATTTCGTAATTTACTATTCTGAATATGATTACCGAAATTCTGCATGTAACCAGAAAATAAACATGTTTCCAATCGGAAGGCAATATGCCGAAACATTATCCATCAAACTGAAAAAAAAAAAAAAGGAAAATCGCACCTACTAATTAGCATGTATCATGTAAAATATTTTATACCTCGTACTTTCAATATTTTCATAAAGTCATGTTCAGTCTCAAACTAAAAATACAGGATGTAACGGGATCCGGAAACAGAAAAACGCACGACATCTCAGGAAAAATTCTATGCACATATAACGCTAATTGCACTATTTCGTTTCATGGTGGAGCAGTTGAAATTTTGGACAATTAAAGTAGATTTAGCATGAGGGGAATGTAAGCGTATGCTGTAGTTAATTTCTTAGTAAAGGGTCAGAAGTATAAAAGGTGATGAATTCTCACCTTTGATTCTACTAAAAACGTAACTTATAGCTTTTTATAAGAATGAAAATGGAACAAATGAAATAAGTGGGTGAATCATATAACATCTTTGACTGAAATTCTAATATTTTCGAAAGAAAAAAATTGAATCTTTTTCATTTGAAAGTGCAAAAGATTCAATTTCTTTTTCTTTTTTTTTTTTTTTGAACATATATGGATCGTAAAATTAATCAAATAATATTATTTCACTTTCATTTTTCTTCTCTACTCTTTGTACATCTATTTTATAATACATATATTTATGTGATTCACGTATACTTTAATATCTCTCATTTAATATTTTTTTAATAACATTATCTTATTTTCATTTTACAATATTTCATAATAAAATTATCATATCTCATTTAAATTTAGTGGGATAAATAGTCAGTTAATTAGTGATTCATGAATGATAGGAAAAAAATCATAATTAAATAGTAAATTGTAGTGATAACACATTATTTTAATGTGAAATGGTAAAAAATCGCAATTTTTTTTATATATAATGTTAAATTGCACTCAGATCTCAGTATTGTCACGAATGATCAAATTTTGCATTTCCTATATAATCAAGAGTGATTGATTGATTTTGAAGTGATTTTTTTTTTTTTTTTAAATTAATTCTAAATTGGCTTTTATTACTCGGTTTTTACAGTCTTAAAATTATTTTCCAGAAAATAAATCGGTACATTGAATCATTTAATGATTGCATTTAGTTTTAAATCTTTTATTTTGTACAGAGTTTTCATTGAAAAGATTTGAAAATTAATTTTAAAAAATTTTTCTTTTTACATTCTGAATTTTATTTTTTGAGAAAAGTAAGAATCAATTTCATATCTCATTTGATGCTTTTTTTTTTTAATATTATTATTACAATAAGCACAAATCAACAAAAATTAATATTATCAAAAATAAAAAAAAAAAAGTGATTGAACTTTAATGAATATACATCGATAATTTCCATTATTTCAATAAAATTTATTGATCAAAAGTTTCTCCTTTTTCTCTTTCTTTTTATAATAATAGTAATAAATTAGCACTGCTCATTTTTCAGTATTCTTTCTAACTTTCTTGACTTTAACAGTTAGTATTGTTTTAGAATTCCGACTAATTCATTAAAAAAATTCTAAACTTATCAGATGAATAATTTGACTGAGATTAAATAAATAAGAAAAAGAGAAAGAATGAGAAAAAAAACGAGAGAGAAAACTAGCCAACATATTACTATTAAAAGCTTTTCTTCTTTTTTTTGAATTAATTTAAAACGAATAAAGGATGATATATATATATATATATAAGAAATGTATCAACTGAAGAGATCAAGGAAAGGAGAAAGAGAGAAAGAGAGAAAAAAAAAGAAAATGAAGAAATATAAACAAAAAGTGATGAGCTGAAAGTAGTTAGTTTGTTTGTTTCGTATACAATCAAACTTATTTAGCAGCTGCTACTAGAAAAGTTAACCTTTCACTAATTGAATTATCGTAACAATTATAATGATAATTATATTGAAATGAATCATTCTAGCAGTAGATCACTTACCTACATCTCATTATTGCTTATTCTTTTACTAAATTTTATGATATATATATGTTTGATCTTTTTTAAAGTTTTAATTTCATTCAAATATTATAACATAAGTGAAAGAGTGTTTATTGGGATAAAATTTATACTTACTAATTTATTTATATTCTCATTTAACATTAATTACCATTTTTTTTTCGCTAAATTTGCTTAGAAAAAAAGATTAAAGATGATAGCAGAAAATTTGCAGTGTAAAGAAAAATTTTGATTGGAATATTTTTAAAAAAATTTTGGAAATTAATTTTTTTTGCACTTTTTGAATATATATCTAATTTAAATCAATAAGAGAACTATACAAAATATTTTTAATCACAGCGTTTTGTGAAACATCAAAAACATTAAATTTAAATCCTATTGCATACATGACTTAGATCAAAAATAGAATTCCTTAATCAAAGATCAATGATATTGGTATGGTTCCCTTATATTTAGTTAATATTTAATAAAATGGATAAACCATTAAATTTCAATTTTGAATCTCAGATTTGATCAACAGATCATTATAATTTTAACCACAGTGTTTTATAAAACATCAAATAGATTAGATATAAATCCTACTGCATCCAATTTTTGCACATTTTTTTCCTCTTCTGCTATTACTATTCTAACCTTTTCTCTTTATTCTTTACATATATACATTTCGTTTTAATTAAATTTATTTATTTATTGACTCTTGGCACTTTGAGCAATTGAAAGATAAATAAACTTATTACGAAAAATAATTTTTGTTAACAAAAAGTGATATGTTACTTGTCCATTACTTCATTTATACAATTTGATTTGCAGAATTTTGCTATGATTTTCTTTTCCTTTTTTTTTTTTTTTTTTTTTCATATAAAATAATAGAAATGATATGATTAAGTTTCTTTCTCTCTTTGATTTGATATGATTAAGTTTCTTTCTTTTTTTTTCTCATTTGCTCAAATTTATCAATTAAAAATATTTTTGACAATAATTACTTGATAAAAATATTACAAATAATATTTTATAGTAAAATTATGTCTTTTTTTTTCACTTATTTTCTTCATTCACAAATTTGTTTCTTAAATGAAAGAAACGATAGTAACACTTAAAGAAATCGATCTTCATATTTCTCACTTTGTTTTCCTCATTTTTTTAATTGATACACTTAATATATTAAATTTAAATGTTATTTACACTTATCATATTACAACTATTTTATTCGGCAATTAGATAATTAAAAATGCTTGTTAATCTATCTGTTAATCGATTAATGTTGTGTATGTTATTGGAATTTTTATTGCTACAATTTTATATCTAAAATATGCGGCAAAAATAATGGACAATAGAAAATAATATTGAAGATTTAATTAATTAGGCTTTTTTTTGGTTTCCCTTTTTTTATTGTAATAAATCTACTATTGTTTAGGTTCAATTATTTCAGTTATTTATTCATTTCTTTCTTTCATTTTGCAAAAAAAAAAAAAAAAGTACTTTTACAGTTAAATATACCATTTATATTTTTCAAATGTAGAATAGAAAAAATCTTTTCAACAAGAAAAAAAAGAACCAAAATCAATAAAAATGAGTATTATTTATCAACGTAGTCCAATATATCTTCATCTTTCTTCCTCCCCTCTCCCTCTCTCTCTTTCCCTTCGTCCTTTCAATCTCCATCAAATTTTTCCTTCTTTTTTTCCTTCCTCTCTGTCTTTGCTTTCCCTATTATCGCTATGAATCTTTTTTTTTTTTTGCAAAGTAGTAACAGATGTTTTACGAAATATTTCAAATTTTAGTTTAAAGGATTGTGTAAAAAAAAAAAGCAAAAAAAAAAAAAAGGAAAATGCGTCCACCTATCTTAAGTACGGGAATGTTGTCACGAGCGCAGTCAACTGCAGATGAAGTTGAAACAACAACAAAATGGTGGAATGATTATCCAACATCGTTGGTTTATTTAATTATTTTAAATTTTATTTATTTATTTTTTTTTATCAGACATAATCTTCAATTTCAATAAGATTAAAGAAATTTACAAATAATTTTTCTTCGTTTTTTTTTTTTTTTGATTTTGAAACACTTGTATAAAAAGGAATTTTATCTTTATGATTTTTTGTCTTCTTCAAATAATAAAAAAAAGCAAAAAACATTTTATTTTAATCAAGAATTTTTATCTATCATATGTAACTTTTATTCATAACTATTTAGGCGTTATATCGATTTAGCTCGTCCTAAAACGACATTTCAAAATTATATGTCAAATGTTTGGAGTAAACCAAAAGAGCTTGCTCGATCAGCTTCTTATACCAATCTTACATATATTAAGGTATTTTGTTACATTCAATTTTGATTTTTTTTTCTTTATTACTCAGGAAAACAACAAAAAAAACCGGGAAGATTAATTCATTATCTAGAGAATATGGTGTAAATTTTTGATTTTGTTTCATCTTCCTAAAATTTTTTCTTTTTTTTCTTTTTTTGAGATTTAGAATGTTTGTTTGTTTCGTTTTATTTTGTTTTTTTTAATAAATAATTATTGTTTATAGAATAGAAGGGGAAAAAACATTATTATCTTACTTAATTAAGAAAATATTTTTCAGCAAAATTTAACTTTTCTAGATGAAGAATTAAAATGTTAAGAGCAACAAGAAATATTTACAATATCATTTGTTATGATGAATTATATTTTATATTTTAATTTCTAAAAAATTTTAAGGAAGCAGAACATGATTTTCCAATTCGTCGATCAACATCCGTTTCATTGCTTGCGCCATCTTTAGCATTACCACAACATTATCGTCAAGCAGAACGTGTTATTGATGCAATACCTGTTTATCAGCCAAAAATTTATAATTGGTATAATAATTCATACAGTAAAGCACGATGGATTGTAAGTTTTAGAAAAAAAATCTTTTTCAATCCTTAAATATTTTTCATTTTTAAATTAAAATTAGCTAAGCAATAATAAAAAGAAAGTTAATACTAAATTTGTCTCAAATTTTCTAAAATATTTCAAAAGAATTAGACATAAATTTTTTTTTTGTTTAATAACAATAATTATAATTCCACTTGTATTTATTAGTTTCTTTTTTTTTTGTTTTTTTATGCTATATTTATTATTTCTTATTGAAATTAATCTTCCAATTAAAATATCAATCTTTTTTTTTCGGGTATTAAAGTAATTACTTGATTAATTACAGGATACTCATGACACTGTAACAAAACCAATTCGTATGCCGTTCTTTGAACCAATGCCGTATAGTTCTTATGTTCCATACTATACATTTCAAACAAACAGGATATTTTTCAATGAAGTATGTTAAAACAAAAAAAAAGAAAAAATTTTCTTTACATGTTAAATTTAATAATTTCTAAATAAATTTGATAAACTTTCAATTTTTCAGTTATTATTTATTATTAGGTTATTCAAATATTTCTTCGTCTTTTTTCCTAAAAGTAATAATTAAAATTAATTTTTTATAGCGAATGGAACCATTGAAATCATACGTTGCTGAATCACAAAATTACTTAAATAGATATGTATCAGCAAGACTTAAGGCAGATGATTTTGCTCAACAGTATGCATACACATCATATGATTGGAGATATCCTCAGGTAGAAAAAAAAATTTTTATTGTATAAAAGACATATGTATTTGAAAAAATGTATTGCTTTTTCAACACCTAATTTAATTAAATACAAGTTAATGAGCTATTTGCATATTTTATAATTTATCAATGGTGTTATTTTTTTTATTTTTTCATAAAAAATTTCTCTATTTTTCTTTTTTTTTTGTAATTTTAGGATCATGGATTTAATCGACATTTTATGTACGGTGAAGGTGTATATATTCCTCATGCTCCACGTATACCCTACTCCTATAACGATGCGCAAGCGCTACGAAAACTTTACATTACAACAGGACGGTTCCGCTTTGCATAAAAAAATAAATAATTAATTTTGTTAGATTAATTATATACATTAGATTTAATAAAAAAATTATTGTATTACATTTTGATCGCTTTTTTTTTTTCAATATTTGCTATTTATCATATTGGTTTCATTAAAAGTTTTCAGCTATTATCAGTGATAATTTTAATGCGATTATATCATGACAATTTAATGCTTTTCTTGCTTTTTAAATCTCAGTAAATTTTTATTAACTATTAACGAAAAAAAAAAAGTGGAGATTTGGAATATTCTCAATAATAATACAAAATTGTTGCAGGCTGTCATATTTTCTTCATTTGATGAGATTATTTGCTAACAAAAAGATAGTCAATGATCTGTTTTAAATTATATGCTTAAAAAATATAAAAAGAAAATATATTTTGTTATATCACTAAGAAAACATTTAATCTAATTTAATTGTTTAATTTATGCCATTAATTCATTGTCCAAATTTATTCATTTAATATCTGAAAAACATATCCTACTAGAAGAAGTTATGTGAAACTGTTATTATAAATCATAATCTATCATTAATTATTGTAAAAATATAATTCATTCAAATTTACGTTTCTTTGATTAAATTTATACTTTATTGATTTAAATTCACGTGAATCCAGTCAGAAGACATACCAATGAAAACAAAAAAAGTACTTATAAAAATGAAAAATAAGTACCATAATAGATTTTTACGTGTTGTGTGTTATTTTACCTTATAATATTACGTTTGTAATGTTATAACACAGGTGATTCCTGAGCCATAACAAATGTCATCAATTTAACGACGGAAGGATAAGTTGATTAACTGATAAACTTTGACAGCTGTATCATGTAGGATTCTATTTAGCTATTCAGTTATGAATTTTTTCAAGCTATATATGAATTTTAAATGATAATTGCGAGTTCCAAAATTAAATAAATTAAAGCAGATTAAGTAATGCTTTGTATCATTAATTATCATTCATATAGTAATAAAGTAATTAGCGTTCATGAATTATGGCCTTTGAAAGAAAATAAAAGTTGAAGCTAAGTTCAGGAAAAAAAATCGTCGTTGATCAGTTTTAATCAATACACGATCAATTTCACTATTACTATGAAAATTTAGCAATAACATTGTTTGGAAAAAAAAAAAAAAAAAAAACGAGATATAAAATTCTAATATATTTTTTGTTAAACTTTTATACTTGTATATATTTCAATAAGTTAAATTAATATTTTTTGGTAATTACTGATGAAATGTTTCTCTTTTTTTATAATCATTTTCCTGATTGAGTTCTAGATAGAACTTTATTGTCAAAATGTTGTATAAATCAAAATGATTGATTAAGTATTCGATGGGAATATTTTACGAAAATTTAAAGGTCGACTGAAATTATTTCAGTGAAAAAAAAAAATAGCAGAAGCCGAGTTATCATTAGTAATGTTTAAAAATTGCAAATGTAGCAACGGATCTGTCACGTTAAAATGAATTGCTGTAACAATTTTCAAACAATGTTTTTAAATTTTCAATTTAAAAATGAATTAGCTTTTCTTATCAATTGTCCAATTTTCTCATCAATGTTAGTAGGAATGAATGTTCATGGTGAAGCATAAAAAAATTTAACATATATGTATGTATATTTTCTTTTGAAACCGAAAATTGATGTATCTCAGGATAAATATGCATTTTAGAGTGTCAGTAAGATTTAGTAAACTTAATTTAACAAATAAGTTTTTTAAAAGGCTTTTTCTTGAAAATTTCAGCAATAAGTGCAAATTTATAAATTTGAAGGTAAAAATCTTGCAGAATAATCACCGAATACTTTATCTCACTTCTTTATCATTTATCAATGTTAAATTAAATTGAATTAAGTTAAAACCTAAACTATTACATCAAAAAAAAGACGGAAAAATTTTATTAGAGCTGATAGAATTCGATCGATATCATTGTATACATGATTTAATTTATTATGTTGTATTGTAAATATTTTATTGAAAACCAATAATTTTTATTTATTTTTCAAATTATCTAAATCAGTCATTGATTATCCATTATGTTGTAATTGATAAGTTAAAAATCTTTTATTGTTAATAAATTAAATAAATAATAAATTTCATCTTTTTTTTAACTACATAAAATATTTTAATCAAAAATATAACAGCCGAAAATAATTGGAAAAAAACATTGATAGCTTTTGATATTTTAAATTATTAGTGCGAAATTTAATTCATTTTTTTTTTTTTTTTTTGTTTTTCTTTAAAAAACTAATTTTGTAAAATCAAGTATTTCTAGTTTTTTGTTTTCTTTTCTTCTAGTTTTCTAGTTCTTGACTTTTGTCCTTGATATATTTTAAGACTTGAAAATTTAAAAAAATACTTTTATTTTAAAAAAAGTTTCTTTTTTGAAGATTAAACCTAACCAAAAGTTTTTAATTTGAATCACTGAATTTCATAATCCTTAATTCTTTCTTTATCCACTGAATTAAACTTGTTTTTTATATTATGATTTGATACATTACTGTCACATAAATCTAATGCAACTAATTTAATTGATTTTCTAATTATAGCCAAGTAGGTTATAATATCTAGTAGGCAAATAGGCCCAGTAAATAACCACAGTTTCATTGATAGAATTAAAGAAATTTTAAAGGAATAATAGACAAAGCTAAATTTATTATTTGTTATAACTGAATTGTAAGTAATAGCGAATGAAATATGAAAAGAAAGGATGGAGAACTACTATGAAATATTTTCATTCCTTTTAAATTTATTAATTTAATCCAAATTTTTCTTTCTAATCAAAAAAAAAAAAACTTTCGTATGCAATTTTATTACAAAAAAGAGATTAAAATATGAATTTTCAATACACTAATTTAATACACTTATACTAGATTTTATAATGTTACAAATGAATGATAAAATTTTGTCCAAAAAAAATTAATGTAATTTTTCAATGTCTTTCAATATTTTGTAAAATTTTACATGCACATGCTATTTGATACATTAAAATGCTTGAAATGCAAAAATGATATGACAATTTTTTAATTTAAAAAAATTCAATAAATACCAATTCATTTACATTCCAATTTTTATGGAAAATTTCAACGATTAAATTTTCTCGCCTTGGTAATTTGCACATTTCCTTGTTCTTTTTTTCCTTTCCTTCTCTTTTTTGTAAAAAGTATTTTAACCAACTAATGATAAATAATATTTCAACAACTTTTTCTTTTTTCTTTCTTCTTCATCATTTACCGGATGGAAAAAAAATTCCGAATAGAATGAAATGATGAATTTTGTTGAGAGTGGTAATCATTTCGAGTCTTTCGATATGATATAAATGATTAAAATGTGTTGGAGAGAAAAAGATTTAGCACAGGAAAAGAAAGAAAAAGATAATACACAGAACATACACATTTAAACTATTTTCATTCAATGAATTGAATTCGTTCTCTCTCTCTCTTCTTGTCTTTGCTTATCTCTAATCACCATCCCTTTTTTCATTTTTCTTATCAGTTTATCTCTCGCAAAAAAAAAAAAAAAAAAAACAGTTCTTCTCCTCATACATTCTAATGGAATCCTTTAACTCTAGCATAACTAATATCATCAATTTCATCAAAATTAACAGCAACAACAACAATAACAACTTCTGATCATATCATTCGAATCTTCTTCATTCTAGTAGCATCCTTCCAGGCGCTTTTCACAATTTCAATTTCTTTCACAATTTTTTAAATTTATTCCTTATCGTTATTCAAAAGAGGGGGAAGAAGAAAAACGAAAGAGAAAGGAAAAACGAGAAAAAAAAGGACGAATTATGCCATCTAATATACAATATAACACGCCAATGCCACTTTATTCACGGTAAGCATTCTTATCAATCCTTATCATTCATTCATATTATTGTTAAATCGAATTTGTGAAAAAAAAATTTCAATTTTTATGTTATAATCCAATGAATTAAATCAATATAGTAATAAAATAATAATAATAATATAGAATTTATCAATGATTCCATTAATAGTTAATTTTTAAAAAAATTAATAATCAATCGTAAATTAAACACTGTTTCATATTTTGATTAGAAATAAAAATGCTTCATTAGTTTTTTTTCCTAGAATTTTTTCAGAAAAAAAGAAAAGAAAAAAAGAAAAATGAAAAGGAACTTTAGTATATGCCATTGGATAATTAAAAATTTTCTAAACTTAATTACAAATCCTTTTTTGTGCTATAATTATTAATACGAGAAAAAATTTTTACAAATTATATTATTAAAATAAGTGATGCAAATAAATTTACAATTTGAAATGATAATTCTTATTACATGATCATATAACATAGTTTAGAAGTTGTGATAACACAAAAAAATTGGGTAATAGTAGTATGGGAAAAGAAAGTAATTCAATATGTTAAAAATTTTTAACTAAATTTTTTTTGTTGAAAGCATTAGAAATGTTATATATGTGTTGTTTGTATTATCTATTCCACTCTACCATACGAATGAATCATTGGTCGAGCAAATATTAGCATAGATTGATTTACTAAAATAAACTTAGACACAAAAAGTATTTTTACACAATATTTTCATCCATGTGTGTCAGATAACAATGATTCAGGTAAAAAATTTGCACTTAAGAAAAAGAATGAAAATATGCGCTTTTTTTTTTGAAAATTTGATTTTAAAAAATTTAAATTTATAGTCTTCATCTTTTTTTTGTAAAGTTATAGTAATACATAGAAATAAATGATTAGAAACGATATACAACAAGCATTTTTTCAATTTGTTGTGTACCTTTGTTTTTTTCCTTTTAATTGAATAAATTATTAAAAATAATTTGACAAATATAATTTGCATGTTATTTTAAAATACAATTTTGAACAACTATAATTTTAAGGTAGCTTTTATTCTTATTAATATCATTTATTTATTCATTTCCAAACTTTATTCCACTTTCTCATCTTTCAACGACTTCCTTACTTTTCTTTTTGGGTGAATTCATTCTTTGATAATAAATATTATTGCATTATTTATTGTTATCACTTTGAGCGATTATTAATTAGAGATATTTTAAATTATTAATATAATTGAAGGCTATTGAATAATAGTAAATATATATTATATTAAAATAGCTTCTTTTTTTGTTTCTTTTAGGTATCAATAGTCGTTCTATTAAACAATATCTTTTTCTTACAATGATAATAATTACCAGTTGGTAATACTACTATCTTATAATAATAATAGTGATATCATTTAACAATATTTATCATTTTACAATTGTAAAATGTATTTTCAGATATCAAATGTTTATTTTAAACAAGCATACATAGTGTATTTCATTGTTTTTTGTTCTGAAACTTAATCAAGTTAACCGTTGAAAAACGAAAACTAGAAAAAAAGTGCAATTTAGGAAGGAAAAAAAATGATTTGCTATTTTTTGAAAGCAAATTTTGTTTTTTTGCTTTTAACTGCCCAATGTTTCACAAAATGTGAATGATGCAGGTGAGCTGTTCAAAAAGCATCCGGAAAACAGCTGTTGTAAATTTTTCATTTATTTTTTATTTTCACAATTTTTGAAAAGAAGAATGTTAGATGTTTCCTTTTGAATTAAATTCTACATTTATTTTATTTTAAATTTTTATAAAATAGATTTCAAAAGGATATGTATTACTTTTTTAACATTTCAACAAAATATGGTTAAGACTTTATTAGCATTATTACTGATGATTGTCAAAAATTTTTAAAAATCCAATTCAACAAGTATTTTGTTTTGTGCAAATTTCAATTTAAGACGTGAATAAGGAAAAAATGAGAGGAAAAGTAATAATAAAAACAGAAAGAAATTTTAGCTAATCAGAAAGAATTGAATGATTTTTTTTTTCGTTTCGTTTTAGATAATAACTTTTAACAAGCCAATTTTTGACATTCAAAAATTTATTTTGCCATTAAAAACATCATAAAACTTCATATCTGTTTTTAAGATTATAAATTTTATCAAGATTACTAACTGCTTCTTATGACCAAATAGGTAGCATTACGTAGACAGAAATCATTAACCATTTCTAAGCTTTAACATAAATTAATAAATAATTAAATTGAGGCAGAATCCATTGCTGCTTCACCTGTACATTTATTTGATACACGTATACATCATGTATATTTATCAGAAAATTTTCTGAAAAAATCAATGATTTAATTACTATAATGAATGGTAGATAATGACTTCATCACTACAATCGATGAATAATAATGAATGAATGGTTATAACCATAGATAATGATTGATCGCTGTAAATGAATGACAAATAGAAAAAATGGATAATAACTGAATAAAATTATTAAAGGAAAAAAATATATATATAAATGGAATAAAATTTTTCCGAACAAAAATTATTACTAATATTTTTTTGTGAGTGAAACAAATGAACAAGAAAAGAAGTTGAATATTTTAGTGAAGCTGCAGAAGAGCAATATAAACAGCAAGTTGGCGCAGGACCAGATCATGCACTTGGCGCAAATGACCGACATTTTAATCCTGAAGTTTCAGAAACATTAAAAGTAATAAGAGCTGGTGAAAATGATACATTTGGCCAACATTTCAATGAGTTAATAGCACAAGCGGAAATCCCACACATACCACCATCACAGGTTTATTAGATTAAATTCCCACAATTTATATTATTTTTGCTTTTAATTTGTAAAAAATAATTTTTAGAGTGTAAATGTTCTTTTTTCTTCTTTTAATTTTAATTAAATTTTAAAACAGCAATATTATTGATATTTTATAATTATTTTTAAAACATTTATTTTTTTGGCTTTTTTCTTTGAGAAGTTATATAGGATATTCAAAATTTATCTTTTAAAATTTAAATCTTTTAAAATTATTTTAAATTTAAAAAAGAGAATAATAAAAAAATATCTTTCTTTTTTAAAGGAACCATATTGGGCTCATGCAGCACGTAGTCGAAGTGAACGAGCTCGTTCAATAACACCTTCTGCTACAAAACCATATTATGCACCTCAATATTCCACTTTACAACATCCAAAAAAACGAAATGAAGAAAGGTTGTACATTGTTGCTAATTTATTATTTTAATAAAATTTGATTAATGTTATAAATTAATTATATTACTACAAACTTGAAAATTTTCAAAGTTATTCGCAATTGATGAAGTAATAAAAATTAATTTGTAATAAAAGAGAAAAAAAAAGTTGAATTAAATATAAAAAAAGGGTTCTTTTTTTTTTTAAATTTATTTTATAATAATAAAATGTATTATTATAGATCAATAAGACGAGGATATGAATTTGGTGGATTAGATTATGTTGATCGATCACGATTATCATCATATAATTCATCATACATTTATCATAATGATAATGATGATACAAGGAGATATCATAATGAGCATAAGACAATAATACCTGGATATGAAATGGGTGGTATGGATTTTCGAAAAGGTGAAATAAGCACAAATGGTTCATACCATGGACATGGACCAGAACAACGTCGTTTACATTCAAAATTTGATCATACTTTGTTGAAACGTGATGAGATGAATATTGAAATAGCACCAAATGTTGATCATGTATCAGCTGATGTCTTAATTGGTGATACACGATCTAATCAACATCTTACTAAAAATGAACAACCTGATCATCATTTTGGTACATCATTTGGACCAACAGCTGGTTTCATTCGTCAACATCGTACTGTTAATCGTCAAGAAGAAATCACTAGACCAACAACATTTAGTTTATCAGCTAAAGTAGATGATCATTTACCATATCGGAGAAATGATAACAACAAAATAAATGATAGCTGTTCAATTTCACCAACATATCATCATCGAACATTTCAGCCATCAACAAATTTTACTGGTTATACATCACAAACAGTTACGAATTATTCAACAAATGATATTATTGGTAATAAAAATGTTGATATTGATAGAGATAATATATCATTTCAAAAGATAGAACAACAACAACAACAACAACAACAACAGCAATCATGGATTCGATCACATAATACAGTACCAGCAGAAAGATACGAATGGGCAAATGAGAATGCTGAGAAAGAGGTGACAATTGAGACATTATTGAACGATAAAGCGCTGATTGCACAAAAAAAATTGATGACCCCAGAATGGCAATCAAGATCTTTCGAAAAGCATAAACATTGGAAGAACAGGTCGGACCCTCGCTTTACCCGCTCCCAGGTCCTGTATTTGTTCCATTCTTCCTACTTCCATTCCTGCTTTTATCATCTCTTGTCATTTCAATTCTATTTCTTCTTTTTTTTGTCAGTATCTAAATTTTAATTGTACATATCTTAACTTTATCCTATCGTTTAATCGAATTCTGCTTTAATCATTATTTATCAGATGACAAAAAATATTAAACTTTGAAGCTTTTAATTTACTTTTTTTTTATTTTTTATTGTTATTACTGTGCAAATTGATATTTAACTTTAGCAAGAATTGCTGATAATGGTATAGTTATGTTATTTTCTTTTATTTAGAATTTCCTTTTCGTTTCTTTTCTTTATTTTTGTTTTTCTCCTCAATTTTTATTTTTTTATTTTTGAAAATTGAAATTCCTCGAATAAATGATTGAATAATGAAAAATTTAATATTAATTTTGAATATCCCATAACTTTTTTTCCTTTTTTTTTTCTTTTAAAAACGCTCTAATTATTTGCATTTGTTTGTTTAGAAACAGAAACAAAATTAAAAGACAGTTTGCTTAATTAGAATGAAATTAATATGATGTGGACAAAAACATAACAGGTGTTGTAATTGTGTAACTAATTAATTTCACTGAAAAAAACTTCAATTTATTAGCGAAATTTTTTAGATGTATGATTATGAACCTATGTGGACACGTATTGTGAATGATCGACGTAATATTTGGGAAAAAAAAGCAAGAAATACTGATGCTCGTCTGCAAATACCACCTTCTTCGAAAGTTTGTTTGTGTTGAATATGTGGATACCTGCGCTAAATCTTTTTTTTTTTTTAATATTTCATACAAAAAAAAGCAAAAAATTTTTTTTCTTTTTCATTTTAATTACTTTCCTTTTAATAAATTTTAATCCAGATCTAAGCGATAGTAGTTTTAATTTGTGAAAATCCGAAAAAAAAAAGAAGAATATGATATGATTTCAAATATGATTAGTAAAATTTGTTTATTTTCTTTATATTTAAAAATTTTATCTTCATTTCCTTTTCTAACAATTTTTTAATTTTTTACAATAACTGAAATTTGTCAAATTTTTAGAGTAAAAAAGTTTTTTTTTCTCTTTTTATAGATTCCACCACAACAACCACCACACTGGTATAATAGAGCTAACCAGACTCATGCATTATGGCAAAATGAAGCTGATCGACAGAATCGTGAAGATGGTAAATATGATGGCGGTAATAATTATACGAATTATCATCGAGAACAACACAAGTATGATAAATCAACAATTAATGATTATGATAGTTTCATATCACAAACACATTATACAACACATACGGATAACGGTGATAACGGTACCAAAAGTGCACAACAGAATCATACACAATATCATACTTCCTATTTAAACAATCAACAACAACAACAATATATATTAGAGCATGGAATACCAGTTAAACAGAGTACACATTTAACTTATGCCCCTGTATCTATTGGATCACCACATCCGATATCCTCCAGTACTCAGCAACAATCATCCACATGGCAATCACAAAGGTATAAAATTGAATTAACTAAAAGAACTGACTTATTCAAAGGTTGTAAACGAAGTATATATAATAATTTTATTATTCATAATAAATGTCTTATTCAAATAAATCTCAATTTATTAAATTTTTATATAAAAGTAAATATTGGTGGTTTAATCTTTTTTTTTTTTTAAAGTGGCAGTTCACGTTATGAAGAAAAATTGCATGAGTATTCAACGGAAAGATTGATAAATAATCAACCAATCACATTACCGGTAACAAATGCAGTCGACAGGTATGCTATTGAGAAACCAAATTATCAACGAAAAACACAGCATGAAACTGCTGCACCATATAATTCAATTGTATCTGTTATGCAAGGTAGTGGTGATTTCAATCGACGTGTTGAAATGTCTGAGGTATTACATTATTTTAGTACTGATATTTTTATTTTTCATATCATTTATTTCAATTCTCTTTTTTTTTTTTTTTTTTTTTCTTAAAAAAAGATTATTACACTATAATTTTGTTGAGATCATCAAAATATCTCAGAATTTTCCGAAACTATCTATATTTTTTTATTTTAGTTGATATAATCATTAAAAAAAAGTATGAATATACTTTAAATACATAAAAGGCATTTCTTTTTACGGAACAATATTCGAAAAGGAAGCAAAAAATCTATCGGTAATAAAAGTATCATAAAATGTGAAAATTTTATCTACTAATGTAATTAATTAGCATACACATAAGTGCTACTACAGTATATGGTCAATTTTTTAATTGTTGACGAATAAATATTATTTCTTGAACTATCGTAAAAAAGTTTTAATTCAGTTTCTGTGATTGTGAAAGGATAATGAAAAATTCAAATGGTTTACTTTTGAAATAAAACAAATATATCTGCATATTATAGCTCTGATCTTTTCTTATTTTTTGAAGTCATCTTGATTAATTAAGTCATATTGATGTTTACAAAAAGAAGAAAAGAAATACAAATCATACTCAAATATTGGTAATCATTTTGAAAAAACATTTTTTAAAAAAATGTGAAATTCCTTATCTTACATTTTTCTGTAATATATAATTGCTGTAATTAACGATAAATTTCGTTAAATTTTTTGAATAAATTTAATAGTATAGACTAAATGAAAAAGTAAACAAATTTCTGAAATAATGCAAGTGTTTGTATTTTTTTTATTTAAAATTTAAAATCGATGTATTATTGTATACAATACATAATTCATTAATATCTCAGAAAGCTACATTTTTTTAAAATGTGTTATTTATTACAGGTATTACCTCGAGGTACAGTAGCAAATACGGAAGCAAGTTTAGAAGGTAATTACGTGGATAAGGATGGTCAACCTGTAACGTATAAGCGTGAAATTGTGACAAGCGTTAATCCGAATAGTGAAAGTACGCTGCTTAAAGAAGAAGAAAGGCGTATTGTTGAGACACCACTTGAACCTGGTGTCATTTCCAGGTAAATCAAGCATTCATATTTTTATTAATTTGTTTAGAATAAGCTAAAATTTGATTGGGAAGATTTAAATGTTTTGAAAATGTTCAAAAATTTTATTATTGTAAAAATTAAATTCCAACAATATTTACTAAAAGCACAAATTAAGTATTAAAAAAATCTAAAATAATTGCTAATTGAATCAATACACTCCGAATGATTAAAGACTATTTCTGCCTAGCTTATGTCAAACTTTTAATAATTAATAAAGAAAAAACTTTTTTAATGAATTCTAGACATGTAACCACAAAATATTATAAAAAGAAAACTGTAACCGATACGACAACGACAAATACCACCGTTCATTGAAACAAAGAAATCTACTGATAATCTCCGAAAATTATAATTTCTCGACAAATTCTCGATGCAAAATTGTTTTGCTTAATTTATTAAACATGCTTGCTTTTAATATTATCACCATTGTTCAAATAAGCTACTGCTAGTTTCATCCTTCCCCATGTATTATTTACTTTTCATTTTAGCTCAATTTTGAACTTTATTTCCAAGGTAAAAATCTCTACGTCGTATATTCACAGATAAGCTTCCAAACATTTCATCATTGTTCATTGCCTATCACACAAATTCAGCTATAAATTGCTTCCAAATATTTCAAAGTTTATTACTTAAAATTTAGGTCTATTTCAGCAATCAAATGATCTACTACATCAATTTGAGTTTTATAAAATCCAAGAATTACTTCCTCGGATCAATAGCATTTAGTGCTAAGTAAGCAAATTTGAAGAGAATGAATCTAAGAATTTCACAAACAAAATCATTTAAGATTTTAAAAGTACAGTAACTTGCCTTTTTTCTTTTGAAAATAACCGTAGTTTTTCACTGGTTTCATTTTATTCCGGAAATGCAAAAGCAAAACAATAATATCATGAATAAAAAAACATTACACACATGCCTGTGATCATATAATAATAATAGTTTAATAAAACAATTAGAAAATAGAATTGGTAAAAAAATTTATTAAAATATTCGCTGATATTAGACAAAGCATACATGTTTCCTTTACATAGCGTTAGTACATTATCTATACACAAGATGGATTACTTTAATACCATCTACCACTTTTTGAATATGCCACGCGTAACCGACAAGAATGACAGATCACAACTGGATCCACATTAGGTAGAATATATATACTTAAGAAATATAGCCTAGGATATCTATGCTTTAGATGTATACATCTCACAATATCGAGATCACAGTGAAAGCCCAAGCAAGCATAACGACCACTTACTGCACATAATAACCTATGAGCTTACATTATTAAATTTTCAATGAAAATTACAACACGTGAAAAAAAAAAAAAAAAAAAAAAAAAAAAGATTTAACACAGTACTGTAACGCAGCATTAAGATGATTTATTTAGCAGATAATCAAAAACAGATATTCTGACAGAAACTGGATATGTTTGAAATAGTTTTATTCACTTATTTTATATAAAGGTGAAAATAAAGTTAAATTTCCGAGAATAAAAAAAAAAAAAAAAAGGAAAAGTTTTACCTTTTTTTTTTTTTTTTTTTTTTTTTCGAATTAAATTACTGGTAACGCAAAAATATGTTTTGGATACAAAAAGAACTGCATATATAGTGATAATGAAGAAATCATCAAAAAAGAACGATTGCAGAAAAAACTTTTTATAGCACAGAAATGAAAAGCATAGATAAAGTAAAAATATTAACCGACTGCCTTAGTAACACGTCGTGCTCCTCTTTGTGATGGCCCTGGTGGTTTTGCAAAACTTTTTTCTTTCATTTGTGGAGCTGGATGAGTATAATCAATGAGAATATCTAATGATAAGAATTCTTTACTATCAATTTCTATCTGAAATGAGAAATTACATATATAATAATTCTTCTTTCACCAGCAAAATACCTCCCCAAATAAAGCATTATAATTATCGACATTTACCATTCTGATTCCAATGTAACTGTTACAAAATAACATATTTATGTCCAGTTTTAACTGCAAACTTTTTATTTGAACATTACAAACCACTTGCCATCCTTTCCTAAGTTACATGATTTATCACTTCACCAATAATTTTAACGAGATTTTATTTTTATTTTTCAAAACTATTTCCATACTAAAACCTTTTTATCTGGAGAAAGATTTGCGGCCGATAAAGCAGATTGTAGGAATGGCTGCTTACAGCTTGAGTAAAGCATTCGTTCTTTGATTGTACATCCCGATGAAGGCATTGAATAGATGAAAACTGCAAAAGAAAAAAATATATATATATATATTAAATTATAAGCAAAGCATCTACAAATATCGAAAAGAACTACATTAATCATCAGAAAATGTTGTGAAAAGTTTTAAAACGAATTCCAAGTGTAAAACTAATTAAAAAGAAATTTAGAGCTTTATAAAAATGCAAACTAACATAAACTGTCATAATTCTGACTGTTATATTCATGAGAGAAACGATAGAAATGATATCGTGGCTTATCTCGAGGTATGACCTGAAAAAGGAAACTTTGCTACGAAAATATAAAATATGAAAACTGCTCTATCATTTAATATAATCTATGATTAAACTTTGTATAAACATGATCTGCTATAAATTCAAATACTTACGATACGGAATCATTTAAGACACTCTTCCATTTCCTAATTTATCGGTGATTGCGAAAGGAAAAAATTATATTTCATCTACCTTAATTTACACTATGGAAATTTAGGCTTTCAGTACACTTATACGATTGAACTACTGGTTAAAGTTTGGAATACGAAAATTATTGTCATTTAAATGGAAAATAAACCAAGGTTACACAGTCACAGAAAAAATAAATTACCTCATTTAACTCTTCGGGAGAGATAGATATTTTTGAACATTCCAATTTGATTGCTTCATTCAATGTATCAACAGCTAGCTGAACATAATTCACTGTATGATTAGCTAACTTTCGTAGTTCTTCTTCAGCATCCTGATCCACTGGGAAGAAAACACCTAGAAGAGTACGTTTAATATTCCATAAATAACTTTTTAAATTTCAAGCAAATGTAACTTTTTCACATAGTGATAGTTGAATAATCATAACAGTTCTTCACTTTCTTAAAGATATTTTTGTACAGGAATGTATTTAAAAGTAAAGATTAAAAACATTGCAACTTACCTCTGACAGTTTGTGCAGCAACAACTGACGGTGCAGTAACTTTAAGTTCTTGATGTGCATTATAAAATTCTTTCTCAAGTTCCGACATAGGTCCAGGATCTTCCTTACTCGAAAGCCATTTTTCAAATGCTTCCAATGTCATTTCTTTCTTATCTGTCACATGATATTCGTACCTGCAATCTTCAGCAAAAAAGTGGAAAAAGAAAAGTATTGTCGACAGCCTTGTAAACTAAAGTAATTAACTGAATGGTCACTAACAAGATACGTCTTCATGCAGACAATATTTAACCATTTAACCACTGCAGATTTACACGAATTCATGAAAACGTACGAAGTCCAAAATTCGAACGATCTTTTTTTAAAAAAAGTAACTACTAGAACAATTCGAACATCAACAACGCTAGTGAATACCGAGTAGGAAAAAAGTTAAATTTAATGCCTGATATTGGACTGTCCAAATTCTGATTTAAACGTTGTCCAAGTCGCAGCAAAAACCATTTTCTCACGAACAGGAGCACGATCATCGGCAAAGCTGTAATAAATTTACAATTTTTATAATTGTAATCATAATATTTCTAAACAGCATGTCAAAATACACGTTTTTTAAGTCATGACTTATGATCCTTATTTAATCAAAATCTCTGAGGATATTCAAGAAAAAACTGGCAGACTGTATGGAAATAAAAATTTTTTAAAACACTATAATTCCATCACAGGTAACATTTTTATCAAACTGCATAGAGGTTAAATATGACAGCGTATTCTCCAGTCATATATAACTAGATTACTTTCAACTGAAACAACAAACCTCATTAAAATCCAACCACATGGTTCATCAATACGAAACAAAATGTAGCATGGTTCAAATGCGTCAATGCAATCCGGTAAATGACGTTTGAAGTCAGCACGCCAATCAGTCGTACCTTTACCTTGGAAATTAACACATAGTTCTTCTGAAATAAATTATTGTTATAAAAAATTACTGTTCAATATTTCTGACAGGGCAAAAAGAGAACAAAATGAAATAAAAAATAAACTGCTATGAAAAATTCGTTCCATTAATAAATTGCAGTAGTAATATAAAATTTCGAGAAATTCCTGTTATCACAATTAAGAACGCCTGTGCTTTTACTCAAATTGATGCTGTTGATCCAAGCGCAGATCATACACAGCTGTAGGATATATATGTCGTGTTTACCTATGACAGATGCACATCATTTTTTACGACTAGCCAAGTAGCCAAAATTATTCAAAATTCCTTACAAAAAAAGAGAAAAATTCATCAAAAGTTCATACCATTCTTTACAACAATTTTTGCAAGTCTTATTTTCCCTGATTTACATTCATTGAAAAACCTCAGCAGTTTGTCGCTTGCTGAAAAATAACAATAAATAATAACACTAACCACAAAAGCATTTCGTTAAGTTGGGAACTTGATTACTGAAACTCAAAGTTCTTTCACAATCAATATAAATCTATCAATCTCAGTTATAATTCGTTTCAAGAATTCTACCAAATTTCAAGTATTACCTGGAATAAGAACGAAAGTAGAGATTTCACGCATTAGCATACTCAAGTTAAATATAACTTTTATAATACACTTAAATGTAATGAAAAAACGACAAACCTCGAATACCAGATTGACAAGCCATAATGTTAAGATAATAGCGAGTGAGTTGACTAGGAATACAATAAATGATACGATATGAAACGATAGTATAACTGCAAAATATAACAAAACTGGAGCAATATAAAAAAAAAATGAACCATTATAACAAGTGATCGTTTTTGCTTTTTTCTTTAAAGTAAAACAAAAAGTAGTCTATCCATTAAAATAATATACCCATTTTGCGAATATCTGTCAATTTTTTTAATTAAATTAAATTTAGCAACAAGGAAATTATTTTTTCTACTCGTTCAATTTGAAAATGTGCGTCCCCATACTTAAACAATGAAAGAAGCGGTAAACTATCACCACACACATCAATTCGCGAGAAACAAAATTATTAAGAATTTACATCACTAATCCCACCGACATCCAACTACAACAAACAATCATTCCAAATCGAAATCCATTTCGCTATTGTAGCGCAAAGTGATGAATTATAATTCTTATATTTAATGGAAAATAAATTAATTTCTGAGGAAAAATTAACAACATTTGATTGAAAAATTTTA